CTGCGACAAGGGAGACTTCCTTTTTGTAGAATAGTCCTGAAAATACTGACAGATCTGTGGTTAGTTTGTTATTTCATTGCATAAAAAACAGTTTAAACAAATTTTATAGCCAAAGTTTTATCCTTGATGGGTTTGGCCAGACTACAATTTCTTGCCTAAAGCTTTTAATGCCAGGTTTAACAGGAGAAAATGTTTCCACTTTAAAAGAAGAAAATCCTTGCCATTTATTTTATTTAATGAATAAACAAATTTATTGCAGTAGCTTAAATTTTTTTTTATTTTTTTATTTTTATTTTTTTTTTTGAGACGGAGCCTTGCTCTGTCGCCCAGGCTGGAGTGCAGTGGCGCAATCTCCACTCACTGCAAGCTCCACTTCCTGGGTTCACGCCATTCTCCTGCCTCAGCCTCCCGTGGAGCTGGGACTACAGGCGCCTGCCACCGTGCCCGGCTAATTTTTTTTTTGTATTTTTAGTAGAGACGGGGTTTCACCGTGTTAGCCAGGATGGTCTCGATCTCCTGACCTCGTGATCCACCCGTCTCGGCCTCCCAAAGTGCTGGGATTACAGGCTTGAGCCACGGCACCCAGCCTCTTTTTTTTTTTTTTTAACAGTCTCACTCTGTCGCCTAGGCTGGAGTGCAGTGATGTGATCTCAGCTCACTGCAACCTCCACCTCCCGAGGAGCTGGGATTATAAACATACACCTACCCTCAGCTAATTTTGGTATTTTTAATAGAGACAGAGTTTCGCCATGTTGGCCAGGCTGGTCTCGAACTCCTGGCCTTATGTGATCCGCCCCCCTTAGCCTCCCAAAGTGCCGGGATTATAGGTGTGAGCCACTGCACCCGGCCTGTAGTAGCTTAAAATTTTCTTTGAGAAAATTCCTTATTTTAAAAATAACCCTTGTATAAATACAAGTGATTATGACAAATGATGTAAAAATGGCATTCATGATGTCTGAAACAAGCCTAAATAGAATTCAAGATTAAACTAAATGATTTTCACTGGGCACATTCAAGGTTTTACATTCTATGATTGAAAAAAATTTTGTTTTGAAAACTTTATTTCATATTCTTTCCTGTAGGATTTTGCTACAGATAACTTTGGGAATGAATAAAGTGGAATGGTAATTTTTCAGTGGTTCAGAATTGAATTAGACTTCTTGTGATTGTGATGTTTGGTTTCCATTCAAATATATGAAGTGAGATGTCATATCCTGAATATAGTTTCTCTTCCCCAATTACTGATACCATGTCTGTCAGCCAGTAAAGATTAAGAACAGAGTTTCTCTAAATTCCTCTCATTATTCCACTAAGGCACATTAAAATAATTTTGGGAAACCAGACATCACAGATTTTTCCATGAAGTCCTAAATCTTTAAAGTCAGAATAGGTATCTTAGTTACTGACAGTATTCAGGTTTTTTCCTCCCTTGGTGATATGTCATTGCATCAGTGAAAAAACATATTTCTCCCAGGGGTAAGAAAGGTATTCTGGTAATACATTATCATCAATCCTTAAACAGTAACAGTGTTGGTACTTATCATAAAACCGACTCATCTCTTAAAACCAGAAAGATTATCTTAGACTGTCCTTCACATTATACTTTACTTACTGCCTTGTAAGAATAAGAGTTGCTCACTGTGTTTATTTGCTGTCCTCCATATTCTTTGTTGCACCATTGGTGTATAATGTTGAGTTTCATTGAATATTATTTGAAGTATTACAGAAGGCAGCTTGCTTCTTAATCTATGCATCTTTGGGGTTTCTGAAGAAATTTAATTCTTTGATGTAAAAAGGAACGGTTAAAAGAGTTGGAAACTCTGCACCTGTGTATATATATATTTTTAGCAATAAAGCAGCATGGGCTGAGAATGCACTGAAATCTCATTGCGTGTCGTTACTTGAAATGGGTAATTTTAAATAATGCAGTACATGCTGACGATGGGAGGAGTCTTTCCAAAGACCTGTGCCAAAGTACTCTTCAGATGTCAAAGAACAAAGGACCAGGTTATTTGAGACATAGTTGTAGCAGTTTCCAGTGTGTTGTACAATGGAACAGGCAGCCATTCAAACCTCAATATGTAATGTTGATTTTGTAGCCATAGTTTTGGAATACTTTTTCCAACATATATGTAATTGCCTTTATTTTGTGTCTCTATGTGTATCCACATACGTGGAGTTTAATAGTATTCATTGAGCACCAACTATGTGATAAGCACTGCTCTAATTACATTAGATGCATTAATTAACTCATTTAATGCTCACTACAGCTCTACAGTTTAATGCTCACTACAGCACTATAGTTTTTATCCCTATTTTACATAGAAGGAACTTAAAACAGATACATTGTTCCAGTTCATGGCTAGTAAGTACCCAAGCCACAGTTTGGTTCCAGAGCCTTCTCACTTACCAGGATGCTATATTGTGCCTCAAAAAAATAGAAAGGGAAGAAGTATACTTTCACTCTGTATTTTGTCACACATCTTTTTTCTAGAGTGAGCATGTAATCTGAAAAAAATCTATTTAAAGCTCTCCAGTTTAATTTGATGTAAAGGTCAAGCATTTAATTTTTTTTTTTTTTTTTTTGAGACAGAGTCTCGCTCTGTCGCCCAGCCTGTGGAGTGCAGTGGTGCGATCTTGGCTCACTGCAAGCTCCACCTCCTGGGTTCATGCCATTCTCCTGCCTCAGCCTCCCAAGTAGCTGAGACTACAGGTGCCCATAACCACACCTGGCTAATTTTTTTTTTCCTGTGTTTTTAGTAGAGGGGTTTCACCGTGTTAGCCAGGATGGTCTCGATCTCCTGACCTTGTGATCCGCCCGTCTCGGCCTCCCAAAGTGCTGGGATTACAGGCTTGAGCCACCGCGCCCGGCCTAACTTTTGTATTTTTAGTAGACAGGGTTTCACTGTGTTGGGCAGGCTGCTGTCGAACTCCTGACCTCGTGATCCGACCACCTCAGCCTCTCAAAGTGCTGGTATTACAGGCGTGAGCCACTGCGCCCGGCCTATATTAGGTCTTACTTAAAAAGTAAAAGCTTTTATTGTGCTGGTTTTTGCCAGAAAGCATCAACCTTGCTTATAGGACCAAATTTTTGTAACTCTACACATAATGAGACCTGGCACAATGGCTCACAGCTGTAATTCCAACACTTCAGGAGGCTGAAATGAGAGGATCCCTTGAGCCCAGTTTGAGCTCATAGCAAGGCCTTGTCTCTACAATTTTTTTTTTTTAATTAGCCAGGTGTGGTGACACAAACCTGTGGTGCCAGCTATTCATGATACAGTTGGGAGGATCACTTGAGACCAGGAAGTCGAGGCTGCAGTGGGCCATGTTCACACCTCTGCACTCAGGCCTGGGTGACAGAGTGAGACCCTGTCTCACCACCCTCCCCTCAAAAAAAGCATAAGCAGGCCAGGCACAGTGCTCACACCTGTTATCCTAGCAGTTTAGGAGGCCAAGGCGGGTAGATCTGCCTGAGCTCAGGAGTTTGAGATCACCCTGGGCAACATGGTGAAACCCCATCTCTACTAAAATAAAAATCAGCCGGGTGTGGCAGCATGCACCTATAATCCCAGCTACTCAGGAGGCTGAGACAGAAGAATCGCTTCAACACCCAGGAGATGGCAGCTGCAGAGATTAGGCCACTGCACTCCAGCCTCGGCAACAGAGCGAGACTCCATCTCGAAAAAATAGAAAAAATATTCTGCTATTATTAGCTTCTGTATCCTCCACCACTCGGATATGTAATTTCTTGACTGTGCTAGTGCCAAAGGCTCTCCTTAGTGGTCTGCTTGCGGCCCTTCCCACCCGTTTTCCACAGGACAACCACAGTGACATTCTGAAAAAGTAAATTTGATTAGGCAGGCCTTCTTTTAAGGACCTCATAGGGCCTTTGTATATATGCCATCCTTTATTAATTCCTATTCATCTTTCAGACCACTGCTGAAACTTCACTTCTACTTCTACTACAGAGGCTTTCTTTCCCTGAACCCCAGACCAGATCAGTTACCTGCTTTATGTGCGTGTATCCCTATGTTCCCTTACTTTAAAACCCTTACTAGAGTCATAATGTTACGTATCTTTTTTTTTTTTTTTTAAGATGGAGTCTCGGTCGGGCGCAGTGGCTCAAGCCTGTAATCCCAGCACTTTGGGAGGCCGAGATGGGCGGATCACGAGGTCAGAAGATCAAGACCATCCTGGCTAACACGGTGAAACCCTGTCTCTACTAAAACATACAAAAAAATAGCCGGGCGAGGTGGCGGGCGCCTGTAGTCCCACCTACTCGGGAGGCTGAGGCAGGAGAATGGCGTAAACCTGGGAGGCGGAGCTTGCAGTGAGCTGAGATCCAGCCACTGCACTCCAGCCTGGGCGACAGAGCGAGACTCCGTCTCAAAAAAAAAAAAAAAAAAAAAAAGATGGAGTCTCACTCTGTCCCCCAGGCTGGAGTGCAAGTGGCACGATCTCAGCTCGCTGCAGCCTCCACCTGCTGGGTTCAAGCAATTCTCCTGCCTCAGCTTCCTGAGTAGCTGGGATTACAGGTGCACATCACCATGCTTGGCTAATTTTTCTAATTTTTGTATTTTTAGTAGAGACAAGGTTTCACCACGTTGGCTAGGCTGGTCTTGAACTCCTGAACTCAAGTGATCCACCCGCCTCGGCCTCTGAAAATGCTGGAATTACAGATGGAAGCCACCGCACCAGGCCTGTAATTTTACATATTTTCATGTGATTATTTGAATGTCTGTCTCTGACTAGATTATAAACTCTAAGGATAACAGTGTGTCTGTTTTTGCTTACCTTTTATCCCCAGCACCTAGCCTAATACTTTATAAATATTTATTAAATTAATATTTTGATAAGTTACTCGAAGTGCTACATAAAACAAAATTAGAGAAAACAGTACTTTGGTGACTGTTTGATGTTTTATCATTCCTTTCATTATTCCTCTGTTAACCTCAGTTTACAACCAAAAAAGAGACAAATTGTATATTATTCAGGCAGTTTATTAAACATTACCTATAGAATATTATGATCTGTATTTTACATAAGTTAAAAAATGATTTATTAATATTCATAACAACTGCGCCATTCAGGAGTACTAGAACTCAACATTAAGCCCAACTCTATTTTCAGACCAACCATGCAACTTTAGATCAGAGGACACATGGGACTTTGCATCTTAATTCCTAAATTTACAGTCAAAGACATCTTCAGAAATAAGTATTATGAATTCAATCAGAATCTAAGTTCTTAAGGCAAATAGCTATAAAACAGAAGAATCCTTAGTTTCTCATCTTCTAAAAACAGCTTCACAAATCATTTGGACAATCAGCCTAATGGTAGATAGAAACTGCATTTCCCAAAGCCAGTCTTTCTGAGAAATGACTAAACAGCACCTGTTGTTGAAGACAGCAATAAAGCCTGAACCTGACACTCAAGCTTTGGTACAAGATCAGTTTTCTGGCTTGGACTGGTCAGGAGTCACTTCACTCAGAATCTTCATTAGTGATTTTAAGCGAGTGTGCGTTAGCACTATCTTCTCTTTCAGCTAGGAAGAAAAATAGACATATATATATATCAGGGCTTCTTTTTTAATTTTTATTTATTTTAAGAGACAGGGTCTCACTCTGTTGCCTGAGCTAGAGTACAGTGGCACAATCATAGCTCACTGCAGCCTCAAGCTCCTGGGCTCAAGTGATCCTCCTACTTCAGCCTCCCGATTAGCTAGGACTACAGTCATGTGTTTTAAATTTTCTTTGTAGAGATGGGGTCTTGCTTTGTTGCCCAGGCTGATGTTGAACTCCTGGCCGTCAGCGATCCTCCTGCCTTGGCCTCCCAAAGTGCTGGAATGACAGATATGAGCCACCACACCCAGCTGGATATCTGGGCATCTTAAGCTCAACTATCAATTTGCTGGTCATAAACACCATTTCAAATTTAAGCTAGTTTATATCTAGTAATTGGGAGCTGGCGATGTGTAAATGCATTTGAGGAATAAATTTCTTCTAATTCTAGAACTTTACACAACAACCTAGTGCAAAATAAGATCCTCAGATGTGGCCGGGCGCGGTGGCTCACGCCTGTAGTCCCAGCACTTTGGGAGGCTGAGTTGGGCGGATCACGAGGTCAGGAGATACAGACCATTGTGGCTAACACAGTGAAACCCCGTCTCTACCAAAAATACAAAAACAAAATTAGCTGGGCGCAGTGGCGGGCGCCTGTAGTCCCAGCTACTCAGGAGGCTGAGGCAGGAGAATGGCGTGAACCTGGGAGGTGGAGCTTGCAGTGAGCTGAGATTGTGCCACTGCACTCCAGCCTGGGCGACGGAGCAAGACACCATCTCAAAAAAAAAAAAAACAAAAAAACAAACAAGAAACAAAAGATCCTCAGATGTAAAGTTTCATGGAAAAAAAAACATTGCTGAGCAGCCCTGCTACTGTGAAGATGAATAACATGTGGTCACAGAGCTTTATGGAGAGTCTTCTTTTCCAGTGGTGAGAATTTAGCTTTTCTTTTAACCCTTTGTTAACAGTAACAAATGCCTCTCTGATTTTAATATTCTACTAATGGTCTGCAAAGTTAACTCTGGTTATTAGGTTTAGAACAGACAACTGTTGCAATTAGATAATTTTTAAAAGTTCTTACACCTTAGAACAGCTATATTTAGAACAAAATTAAGTGGTGTTACTCAGCAGGGCAAGAGCAGTGGCTTCTGATAATCTCCATTTGCCCCTCTCAGCATGGGATTTCCACCCTACAAGCAAGCTGGGGGCAAGGGCAACTGGGTTCCCAGCTACTGGGGAGGCTGAGGCAGGAGAAGCACTTGAACCTGGCACTCACACCTGTAATCCCAGCATTTTGGTAGGATCACCTGAGGTCGGGAGTTCGAGAACAGCCTAGCCAACATTTTTAGTAGAGATGGTGAAACCCCATCTCTACTAAAAAATACAAAAATTAGCCGGGCATGGTGGTGCGCACCTGTAGGCCCAGCTACTCAGGAGGCTGAGGTGGGAGAATTGCTTGAACCTGGGAGGCGTGGGGGTTGCAGTGACCTGAGACTATGCCACTGCATTCCAGCTGGAAGGCAGAGTAAGATTCTGTCTCAAAACTAAATAAATGTTTCTCTATTTGCCATATACCTCGACAAAAATTTCCAGAGACTTAAGATGGTTGTTTCCTTTATTTTTTTAAATTTATTTTGTTGTTGTTGTTGAGGCGGAGTCTCGCTCTGTCGCCCAGGCTGGAGTGCAGTGGCCGGATCTCAGCTCACTGCAAGCTCTGCCTCCCGGGTTCACGCCATTCTCCTGCCTCAGCCTCCCAAGTAGCTGGGACTACAGGTGCCGGCTGCCATGCCCGGCTAATTTTTTGCATTTTTAGTAGAGACGGGGTTTCACCGTGTTAGCCAGGATGGTCTCAATCTCCTGACCTCATGATCCGCCCGCCTCGGCCTCCCAAAGTGCTGGGATTACAGGTGTGAGCCACCGCGCCCGGCTGTTTCCTTTATAATATTCTTCCTGGATCCTATCCATGAAACTCCTGATACTGCCATTCCAAAGTCATTTCCCATACCAATTATTATTATTATTATTTTTGAGACAGATTCTCACTGTCACCTAGGCTAGAGTGCAGTGGCGTGATCTTGGCTTACTGCAACCTCTGCCGCCCGGGTCCAAGCGATTCTCCTGCTTCAGCCTCTCGAGTAGCAGGGCTGGGATTACAGGTGCCTGCCACTGCGTCTGGCTAATTTTTGTAGTTTTAGTAGAGACGAGGTTTCACCATCTTGGCCAGGCTGGTCTTGAACTCCTGACCTCGTGGATCCACCCACCTTGCCTTCTCAAAGTGCTGGGATTACAGGTGTGAGCCACCGCGCCCGGCCAGTAAGAATTGTTTTTTTGTCGTTTGTTTTTTTCAGATGGAGTTTCGCTCTCAATGGTGAGATCTTGGCTCACCATAACCTCTGCCTCCCAGGTCCAAGTGATTCTCCTGCCTCAGCCTCCTGAATAGCTGGGATTACAGGCATGTGCCAACACGCCAGGCTAATTTTGTATTTTTAGTAGAGACAGGGTTTCTCCATGTTGCTCAGGCTGGTCTCGATCTCCTGACCTCAGGTGATCTGCCCGCCTCAGCCTCCCAAAGTGCTGGGATTATAGGCGTGAGCCACCACACCCAGCTTGTTTTTGTTTTTGAGACGGATATTCACTTTTGTAGCTCAGGCTATAGTGCAATGGCACAGTCTCGCCTCACCGCAACCTCTGCCTCCGGGGTTCAAGCGCTTCTCCTGTCTCAGCCTCTCCCCAGTAGCTGGGATTACAGGCATGTGCCACCACGCCTGGCTAATTTTGTATATTTAGTAGAGATGGTATTTCTCCATGTTGGTAAGGCTGGTCTCAAACTCCTGATCTCAGATTATCTGTCCGCCTCAGCCTCCCAAAGAGCTGGGATTACAGGCATGAGCCGTGGTGTCCGGCCAAGAATTCTTTTTTTTGAGACAGAGTCTCTCTCTGTCGCCCAGGCTGGAGTGCAGTGGCGTAATCTCGGCTCACTGCAACCTCCGCCCACCCAGGTTCAAGTGATTCTCCTGCCTCAGCCTCCTGAGTAGCTAGGATTACAGGTGCCTGCCACCATGCCCGGCTAAATTTTTTTTTTTTTGAGACGAATCTCACTCTGTTGCCCAGGCTTGAGTGCAGTGACGTGATCTTGGCTCACTGCAACCTCCACCTCCCAGTTCAAGCGATTCTCCTGCCTCCACCTCCCAAGTAGCTGGGACTACAGGCATGTGCCATCACGCCAGGCTAATTTTTTGTATTTTTAATAGAGATGGGGTTTCACTGTATTAGCCAGCATGGTCTCAATCTCCTGACCTCACGATCTGCTCACCTTGGCCTCCCAAAGTGCTGGGATTACAGGCGTGAGCCACCACGCCCGACCAAGAATTCTTAATAACTGTTTCTTCACTCTTACAACTAAGACAGTTGAGCAATTACAAGGTGTTTGCAAGGAAGACAGCTCTATGGCAAGATGATGATATCCATTCCCAGCACAAAGGAGAACACAGGAGTGCAGCAGTTGAGCAGCTTTTCCTTTCTTCCTGAACTACACCTTACAGTGTGGTTTTAGTATTTTGCTTTTCGTTACAAATTCGATAGGGAAGGTCAAACCAAGTATAAAGGATTACTGAGCATCATACTATTTCATCATCCCCAAGTCCATTGGTAGAAGTTATCAAGAATTGTCTGTATTTTAAAAAAGCATACAACCATCATGAAATTTTACCTCTGCAATCTTTTCTGATAGAGATACATTGTGAATATCCATCTCTGATGCATTTACTATGGCTTTTGTTTTTAAGAGATAGCTAGATAGGAAAAAAGAGAAAATATTAGTGTCATACCATGGTTAAGATTATAAATGAACCAAACTTGCCTTCTAAAGAAAATGTGTGTCAAAAAAAGCCTTCTTACTGATTTTCACTTCAAAACTCATGATGTTACAGTGGGCCCACTATATCCACGGGTACAGCATCGGATTCAAACAACCACAGACTAAAAATATTTGGGGAAAAAAACTGGATTGTGTCTGTATTGAACAGGTACAGACTTTTTCTTGTCATCATTCCCTTAACAATACAACAACTTTGTAAATTTCCTATGCATACTTGTAATGTACATAGCATTTACATTAGCTGTCATAAGTAATCTGGAGATTATTTTAAAGTATAAAATATGTACTTTTATACTTTAAAAAGGAGGATATCCAAAAGTAATATGCAAATATTATACCATTTAATATCAGAAACTTGAGTGTCCATGGATTTTGGTATCTGGTGGGGTCCTCAAACCACAGATACTGAAGGATGACTGCATTTCCTTGGAAAAACAAATTCAAAAATAAACAAATCGGAGAGGATCTCTGCCTCATCCTACCAGAGACAAAATTATCTCATGGTAAACTAAAGACAAAAACCAGGCTCATATGAATAATTATGATGATTATAAGCTTTACACTTCATCAGTGGGATCCTGTAGCACAGTTTGAAGGAAAGTAATCCCAGTGTGAGACAAAGTGTTGGTCACCTATTCCCAGTAGCTATTCCCCACTTTTTTTTTTTTTGAGATGGAGTCTCACTCTGTTGCCCAGACTAGTGTGCAGTGGCACGATCTCAGCTCACTGCAACCTCTGCCTCCCGGGTTCAAACGACTCTCCTGCCTTAGCCTCCCAAGTAGCTGGGATTATAGGCTTGCGCCACCACGCCCAGTTAATTTTTGTATTTTTAGTAGAGACGGTGTTTCACCATGTTGGCCAGGTTGGTCTCGAACTCCTGACCTCAGGTGATCCCCCCCGCCTCAGCCTCCCAAAGTGCTGGGATTATAGGCGTGAGCCACCAAGCCCAGCCTTCCTCACTTCTTTATTGCCAACAGAATCCAGATTTTTGCCACGAGCCTCCTGTTACATATTTGCTTTCTCAAATAAAGTGATCATGTGACATAGTTCTGGCCAACAAGGATAAGAAAATTGGTTGGGTATACTGGCTTACACCTATTATCCCAGCACTTTGGGACACTGAGGCAGGCAGATGGCTTGAGACCAGAAATTCAAGACCAGCCTGGGCAACACAGCGAAACCCCATCTCTTTTTCTTTCCTTTCCTTTCCTTTTTTTTTTTTTTTTTGAGAGGGAGTCTCACTCTGTCGCTCAGGCTGGAGTGCAATGGCGTGATCTCAGCTCACTGCAACCTCTGCCTTCCAGGTTCAAGCAATTCTCCTGCCTAAGCCTCCCAAGTAGGTGGGATTACAGGTGCCCACCACCATGCCCAGCTAATTTTTGTATTTTTAGCAGAGGCAGGTTTTCACCATATTGGACAGGCTGGTCTTGAACTCCTGACTTCAGGTGGTCCGCCGCCTGCCTCAGCCTCCCAAAGTGCTGGGATTACAAGCATGAGCCACCGTGCCTCGTATAAGTGAAACCCCATCTCTACAAAAAATACAAAAATTAGCCAGATGTGGTGGCATGCTTATAGTCCCAGCTACTTGGGAGGCTGAGTTGGGAGGATCACCTGAACCCAAGAGGTTGAGGCTGCAGTGAACCATGATAGCTCCAGCCTGTGTGACAGACAGACCATGTCTCAAAAAAAAAAAAAAAAAAAAAGATTAAGAAAATTTATGCCGGCAGGGCGCTGTGGCTCATGAGTGTAATCCCAGCACTATGAGAGGCCAACGTGGGCAGATCACCTGAGGTCAGGAGTTTGAGACCAGCCTGGCAAACATGGTAAAACTCCATCTCTACTAAAAAGACAAAAATTAGCCGGGCGTAGAGGAGTGCGTCTGTGGTCCGAAATACTTGGGAGGCAAGGCAAAAGAACCACTTGAACCTGGGAGGCAGAGGTTGCAATGAGCTGAGATCGCACCACTGTGCTCCAACCTGGGTGACAGAGCAAGACTCTGTCTCAAAAAAAAAAAAGAAAATTTATGCTGATGAAAAGGGGGAATTTTCTTGTGTTCCCATACTCTCCATATCCTTTTCCTTCATGTTTAGAATGCTATCATCAATAGATGTAATGACTGTAATTGCAGCAGCCATCCTGAATCCAAGAGGAAAAGGCCAAAATTTCTATTTAATTGAAAAGAATGTCCTGACCTTTTATCCAACTCATTTTAAATATTAAGAAATTAACCAAAATCTCATAATGCTTTTTCAAATTTATGTTAAAAATATGTTACTAAAAGCTTACTACCCTAGCAAAAATGCAATTATTGCTCCTCTAGAACATTTACTTTTGTACTGATTTCTAGAAAAGATGTGGGATTACTAACAGCACACATTTACAGGTGTTTTTTTTTTTTTCCTGCTTTAAAGTTAATTCTAAATAGAAATTGCTTAAGAATCTAGAAATTGAGGCTGGGCATGGTGGCTAATGCCTGTAATCTTAACATTTTGGGAAGCCCAGGCAGGAGAATTGCTTGAACCCAGGAGGCGGAGGTTGCAGTAAGCTAAGATCATGCCATTGTACTTCCAGCCTGGGTGACAGAGTGAGACTCCATCTTAAAAAAATAAAAGAAGAATAAATGATCAATCCATCTCAGATATATATTTTGTGTTGGAAATTTGCAATGAAGATCAAATGGTATACCTAATGCACAGTGAACAACCCATGGTAAAGGACTGGCTTTGCTAATAAGTTTTATTGTTTAGTCAACCATAACTCAGGTAGAAACATCTATCTAAGCATAAGAAATGAGAAAAAGCAGCTGGGCGTGGGGGCTCACACCTGTAATCCCAGCACTTTGGGAGGACAAAGCGGGCGGATCACGAGGTCAGTAGGTCGAGACCATCCTGGCTAACACGGTGACACCCTGTCTCTATTAAAAATACAAAAAATTAGCCACTCGTGGTGGCGGGCAACTGTAGTCCAAGCTACTTGGGAGGCTGAGGCAGGAAAATAGGAGAATGGCACGAACCCAGGGGACAAAGCTTGCAGTGAGCCAAGATCGCGCCACTGTACTCCAGCCTGGGCGACAGAGAGGGACTCCATCTCAAGAAAAAAAAAAAGAAACAAACGAGAGAAAGGAAACCTTTTAGTTTTATGAAAAATAAGCATTTAAGATGTGCTCAAATCTCAGCTCTTCCACCTCTTTGAGCCCTAGGTTTCTTAGACTATACTAAGAACTCAGTGATATAAGCATAATGCCTACATAAACTGGGTTGTCAATGCTTGTTTTGTTTTTGTTTTTGTTTTTTAATGGTCAAGGAAAGACTTCGAAGGATGTTTCAGTTTCTTGTAATATGTAGAAAAGCTTAAAAGTGTAATTTGTTAGGAAAATAATGCAATAGCCAATGTAATTCATGAGAAAGGATAGCCAGTAGGGTAGTTTTTCTGATGCTATGAGGCTACATGATCATTATTTTTACTTTTCTCTGTCTGCTTCATGTTTTACTGCAGAGAAGATTTCTCAGCAGCTACATGCATCATATAGGAAATAGCTACCCCATATATACAGCTTTCACTTCCCAACTTCAACACTAGTACCATCTACACGTAACTGGTATTTCTGGGCCATATTTCAAATTCCTAGGGTTGCCGGGCGCGGTGGCTCACGCCTGTAATCCCAGCACTTTGGGAGGCCGAGGCGGGCGGATCACAAGGTCAGGAGATCGAGACCACGGTGAAACCCCGTCTCTACTAAAAATACAAAAAATGAGCCGGGCGCAGTGGCGGGCGCCTGTAGTCCCAGCTACTCGGGAGGCTGGGGCAGGAGAATGGCGTGAACCCAGGAGGCGGAGCTTGCAGTGAGCCAGGATCGCGCCACTGCACTCCAGCTTGGGCGACAGAGCAAGACTCCGTCTCAAAAAAAACAAAAAAAAAAAAAAACAAATTCCTAGGGTAGAAAACTGGTTGGCTTAGTTTGGATCGGGTATCCATTTTTCTCTTTTTTTTTTTTTTTTTGAGACAGAGTCTCGCTCTGTTGCCAGGCTGGAGTGCAGTGGTGCGATCTCGGCTCACTGCAACCTCTGACTCCCTGGTTCAAGTGATTATCCTGCCTCAGCCTCCCAAGTAGCTGGGATTACAGGCACACGCCACCACACCCAGCTAATTTTTTTGTATTTTTTAGTAGAGACGGGGTTTCCCCATGTTGACCAGGATGGTCTCGATCTCCTGACCTCATGATCTGCCCGCCTCAGCCTCCCAAAGTGCTGGAATTACTGGCATGAGCTACCATGCCCAGCACCGTTTTTCTTTTCTAAGAGACAGGGTCTTGCTCTGCTCCGCATGCTAGAATACAGTGACACAATCATAGCTCACTGTAACCTTGAATTCCTGGGCTGTAGCTATCCTCCTACCTTAGCCTCCTGAGTAGCTAGGACTACAGGCATACACCACCACACACCGCTAATAGTTTAAATTTTTTGTAGAGACAGAGTCTTGCTATGTTGCCTAGGCTATTCTCAAACTCCTAAGCTCAATCCTCCAACTCAGTCTTCCAAAGCGCTGACATTACAGGCATGACCCACCATGCCTGGCCAGGTATTCATTCTTGATCCAGTACCTGGGAGTGGGAATCACACATGATATAAATATACAAGGCCCCCCCATTAGAGGGAGACAGAGGCTGGGCACAAATCCAAAAGGTATCTACTACAACATTATTTTGCAAAAGCTTACTTTCTAGAATGATCTTTTTATCTTTTATTTATTTATTTTTATTTTTTCTGAGACGGAGTCTCACTCTGTCACCCAGGCTGAAGTGCAGTGACTCGATCTTGGCTCACTGCAACCTCCACCTCCTGGGTTCAAGCAATTCTCCTGCCTCACCTCCCGAGTAGCTGGGACCACAGGCGGGCACCACCACACTTGGCTTATTTTTGTATTTTTAAAGGAGATGGGGTTTCACTACGTTGGCCAAGCTGGTCTCGAACTCCTGACCTCAGATGAACCCCCGACCTTGGCCTCCCAAAGTGCTGGGATTACAGGCGTGAGCCACTGCGCCTGGTCATACAATGTTCTTTTTATTTATTTATTTTTTTTAAGGGGGCAGTTTGAGATAGGAGGCTTCACTATGTTGCCTAGGCTGATCTCAAACACCTTCAAGATTCAAGGGATCCTCCTGCCTCAGCCTCTTGGGTAACTAGAATTATAGGCACACACCACCACATCTGGCAAAAAGTTTATTTAATGAAAGACTACCCTCTGAATTCTTCCATGGATGCTTCTTAAGATGTGGTATAAGAAGACATGGAAGATAATCATAATGTTATAAGATTATATTTTGGTCCCACTGCTATCTTTTTATTTTTTTTAAGAGATGGAGTCTCATTTTGTCACCCAAAATGGAATGCAGTGGTGTGATCACAGCAAACTGTAACCTTGAACTCTTGGGCTCATGTGATCCTCCCACCTCAGCCTCCCAAGTAACTGGGACTACAGGGGCAGGCCACCACCACATCCAGCTAATTTTTTTTTATTTTGTATAAAAAAATAGGGGTCTCACTATATTGCCCATGGAGGTCTTGAACTCCTGCCCTTAAGCAGTCCTCCCACCTTGGCCTCACAAAGCACTGGCATTACAGGCGTGAGCCATCACACTTGGCCCACTGCTATCTTTTTGTCAAAGACAGTGCCTGACTTTAGCATCTTCTTTGGTACAAACGCTTTGTCTTTTTTTTTTTTTTTTTTTTTTTGAGGCAGAGTCTTGCTCTGTCACCCAGGCTGGGGTATAGTGGCACGATCTCAGCTCACGGTGCAACCTCCACCTTTCAGGTTGAAGCAATTCTCCTGCCTCAGCCTCCCAAGTAGTTGGACAGAATCTCACTCTGTCTCTCAGACTGGAGTGCAGCGGCGCAATCTCGGCTCACAGCAGCCTCCGCCTCCCAGGTTCCAACAATTCTCATGCCTCGGCCTCCTAAGCAGCTGGGATTACAGGTGTCTACCACACCTGGCTAATTTTTGTATTTTTAGTAGAGACGGGTTTCACCATGTTGGCCAGGCTGGTCTCCAACTCCTGACCTCAAGTGATCCACCCGCCTCAGCTTCCCAAAGTGCTGGAATTACAGGCATGAGCCACTGTGCTCAGCCCACTTTCTCTTTCCTGAAAAATCTTTTAAAATTTATTTGATGGACTTTGTCTCTAAATAAATAAATAAATAAATAAATAAGTGTATTTGATGATCAATATCTAAGTCTACTCACCACACCATTTTGTCACTGGAAAGGCAGAAGTGACCTCTCAAGGCAGCCAGGGCAGCATGGGTAGAATACAGATGGAAACCAATGGGAATCCCACAGGAACCACAGAATAAAAGGTTGTAAGTACTAGGAGTAGGGAAAAACAGAATATGGGTAAGAATAAAAAAATCGGCCGGGCGTGGTGGCTCAAGCCTGTAATCCCAGCACTTTGGGAGGCCGAGACGGGCGGATCACAAGGTCAGGAGATCGAGACCAGCCTGGCTAATACGGTGAAACCCCGTCTCTACTAAAAAAAAAATACAAAAAACTAGCCGGGTGAGGTGGCGGGCGCCTGTAGTCCCAGCTACTCGGGAGGCTGAGGCAGGAGAATGGCGTAGACCCGGGAGGCGGAGCTTGCAGTGAGCTGAGATGCGGCCACTGCACTCCAGCCTGGGCGACAGAGCGAGACTCTGTCTCAAAAAAAAAAAAAAAAAAAGAATAAAAAAATCATGTAAGAAATAAAAAATAACTAGTCTCTGAAGCATTCCTAACACCTAAGTCAGGGTGAAAATTATATTGTAATAGGAATGAGACTGAAAGAATATCACATTCAAGAAAGGGTAATTCACGTTATAATTTAATTACATGCTGGATTGCGGATACCCTCTTATATTCTGGTCAAAGCAGTCATGGATGTATAATTGTCACTTCAGTAGAGAAAGGTAACTTACCCCTAATAAACAGAAAAAGAGCTAACTAATCTGATTAATACTAAAACATTTAAAACTACAAATCACCGTGTAAAATGGCTATCATTATATAAATTCACATTTGTTGAAAAAATAATCATGTTGACTGGGGCTTTACTAAACAAATTGTTCATAGAACTAAAGATTTGTCTTTTGCATATATAAAAAAAAGTTAATGAAAAAATGCCCAGACTAAAAGAGAAAGAAAAAGGAATCCCATTACCCTAGCAAGCCATCTATTTTGCTTTCCTTATCCTCTGAAAAGATTACTGATGAAGAGTCAGATGTTGATTTTAGTTCTCATTACAATTCTTGAGCAAGTCATCATATTTGCTGGTATATAAGACATATTTAAATATTAAACAGGAACATTTTGGTCAGGCACAGTGGTTCACACCTACTGTAATCGCAGCACTTTCAGAGGCCAAAGTGGGCAGATAGCTAGAGCCCAGGAATTCAAGATCAGCCTAGGCAACATGGTAAAACCCCGTCTTAAAAAATAAATAAACAGCCCAGGCACGGTGGCTCACGCTTGTAATCCCAGTACTTTGGGAGGCCGAGGCTGGCAGATCACGAGGTCAGGAGATCAAGACCATCCTGGCTAACATGGTGAAATCCCGTCTCTATTAAAAATATTAAAAAATAGCTAGGTGTGGTGGCGGGCGCCTGTAGTCCCAGCTACTCGGGAGGCTGAGGCAGGAGAATGGTGTGAACCCAAGAGGCGGAGCTTGCAGTGAACCGAGATAGTGCCACTGCACTCCAGCCTGGGCAACAAAGCAACACTCCGTCTCAAAATAAAATAAAAAATTTTTCTTTTTTTTTTTTTTTTTTTTGAGACGGAGTCTCGCTCTGTCGCCCAGGCTGGAGTGCAGTGGCGCGATCTCGGCTCACTGCAAGCTCCGCCTCCTGGGTTTACGCCATTCTCCTGCCTCAGCCTCCTGAGTAGCTGGGACTACAGGCGCCCGCCACCGCGCCCGGCTAATTTTTTGTATTTTTAGTAGAGACGGGGTTTCACCGTGGTCTCGATCTCCTGACCTTGTGATCCGCCCGCCTCGGCCTCCCAAAGTGCTGGGATTACAGGCGTGAGCCACCGCGCCCGGCCAAAAAAATTTTCTAAAAGAAAAGCACTTTAAGAAAGTATTTCATCATGCATGTGCTAAAGGCAATTTTAAAGTGCTTTGGTAAAGGAAAAATTAATTATATTAATATAGAGTATGCTATGAAGAATTTTTTTTTTTTTTTTAAGACAGGTTCTTGTTCTGTTGCCCAGGTCAGAACATAGTGGTACAATCATAGCTCCCTGCAGCCTTGAATTCCTGGGCTCAACTGATCCACCTGCCTCAGCTTCCCAAAGCTGGGATTACAGGTGCATGCTACCATGCCCTACTAATTTTTTTTGGAAGAAATGGGGTCTTACTTCCCAGGCTAGCAGAATTCTATTAACAAAATACAACATAAAAATCACATAGCTAGCCCGGGCATGATGGCTTATGCCTGTAATCCCAGCACTTTGGGAGGCCAAGGCAGGTGGATCACCAGAGGTCAGGAGTTCAAGACCAGCCTGGCCAACATGGTGAAACCCTGTCTCTACTAAAAATACAAAAATTAGCCAGGCATGGTGGTGGGTGCCTGTAATCCCAGCTACTCAGGAGGGTGAGGCAGGAGAATCGCTTGAACCGGGGAGGCGGAGGTTGCAGTGAGCAGAGATTGTGCCATTGCACTCCAGCCTGGGCGACAAGAGCAAAACTCCGTCTTAAAAAAGAAAAAAAAAAAACAAAAAACACATAGCTAAAAAGAAATATTCACGTCAATGGATACTAAAAAAGAACAAATAACAAAATATATTAGGTTTATTGGTAAATGAAGTCCCACACCACACATATAGTAATCTTGTGAATATAGGTAACCAAAAAGCAAACTGTGAAATAAAGTGTCATTAATTTGAAATTCCACGTAGGAATTAATTAGTTCAGACAAAGCACAGTACTTATAAACAAATGTGTCAGTGGAAATTAATTTACTGGGCCGGGCGCAATGGCTCACGCTTATAATCTGAGCATTTTGGGAGGCGGGCAGATCACCTGAGACCAGGAGTTTGAGAACAGCCTGGTCAACATGGTGAAACTCCGTCTCTACTAAAAATACAAAATTTAGCTGGGTTTCCAGAAGGTTTTCAATTTACTTTGCCCATATCCATCAGAGGAATAACTATCTATAGTAGCTATAGATAGTAACAGTAAATGAGCATTGACTTCAACTTAAAGTCATCAGCTGCATTGGCCCCTAACAAGAGAGAAAGCCTGTCCTTTGAAGCTTTTTTTTTTCTTTTTTTTGGATGGAGTACAGTGGTACCATCACAGCTCACTACAGCCTTGACATCCCAGACTCAAGTGATCCTCCCACCTCAGCCTTCCAATTAGCTGGACCACAGGTGCACACTATAATGCCCATCTAATTTTTAAATGTTTTGTAGAGATCGGTTCTTGCTATGTTGCCCAGGCTGGTCTTGAACTCCTATGCTCAAGCAATCCTCCCACCTTGGTCTCCCAAAGTGCTGGGATTACACGTGTGAGTCACTGTGACCAGCTCCTTTCAAGCCAGGTAATACTTCTCCTTTCTACCTATGAAAGTCTGAGATGGCATCTTCTTCCAATAGAAGGCTGTTTCATCTGCACTGAAAATCTGTTGTTTAGTGTACCCACTTTCATTTTCTGCAGCTTCTGCATCAGTACTTGCTGTTTCACTTTGGACTTTTGTTATAGAGAAGGTTTCTTTCCTTAAATCTCAAGAACCAACCTCTGTTTTTTTTTTTTAGATAGTCTTGCTCTGTCACCCCGGCTGGAGTGTGGTGGCACAATCACAGCTCCACTGTAGCCTCGACCTCTATGGCTCAAGCCAGCCTTCCTTCTCAGCCTCCCAAGCAGCTGGGACTATAGGTGTGCACCACCACATCCGGCTAAATTGTTTTGTATTTTGTAGAGACAGCATTTCACCATGTTGCCCAGGCTGGTCTCAAACTCCTGGGTTCAAGCAATCCACCCACCTCGGCCTCCCAAAGTGCTGGGGCTACAGGCATGAGCCATTGCACCTAGCCAACATTTGCTACTTTCAAACTTCTGCAGCTTCCTCACCTCTCAGCCTTCACAGAATTGAAGAGAGTTAGGGCCTTGTTCTGGATTAGGCTTTGGTTTAAAGGAATGCTGTGGCTGGTTTGATCTTCTACTCATACCACTCAAACTTCCTCCATATCAGCTTATAACTGGAGTAGCACTTTTAATTTCCATGTATTTGTTTGTTTGATGGAGTTTTGCTCTTGCTGCCCAAGCTGGAGTGCAATGGTGTGTTCTCAGTGCACTGCAACCTCTGCCTCCCGGGTTCAAGTGATTCTCCTGCCTCAGCCTCCCAAAGAGCTGGAATTACAGGTGTGTGCCACCATGCCCGGCTAATTTTGTATTTTTAGTAGAGATGGGGGTTCACCATGTTGGTCAGGTTGGTCTTGAACTCCTGACCTCATGTGATCCACCCACCTCAGCCTCCCAAAGTGCTGGGATTACAAGCGTGAGCCACCGCGCCCGGCCCCATTTTTTTCTTCATATTCACAATTTGGCATGACTTCACATGCCTTCCCAGCTACTCGGGAGGCTGAGGCAGAATGGTGTGAACCTGGGAGGCAGAGCTTGCAGTGAGCCGAGATCGCGCCACCGCACTCCAGCCTGGGCAACAGAGTGAGGCTCCATCTCAAAAAGAAAAAAATCAAACCAACAAAAAAAAAGGAAATGCTGTCAACAGACTTGCTCAACAAGTACATGTCAGTTCCACGCTCCTCAGTCTCATAAAGTCAGGGACTAGAGACCAATCTGTAATTATCAATACGTACCTGCCTTTGAGTGAACCTTCAATGCCAACTAGGAAGGGCGCTTCCAAAACGACGTTATTTGTAACTCCTAGGAACACAAACACGGGTCAGAACTCATACTCTGCGGGCCTTGAAATGGAAAATCTCTCCTCTAGACAGACTCATCCCCGCCATAAATGTCAGGAGACTCCCCAGTTCCCTGCCCCATCCCCAGGCCAAGGAGTTATGTGCTTCCAAATTTTCATTCCGTTTTCTTCCCCAGGTGGTTCTCTGCCACCCGGTGGAGAAGGCGGGAACAACCTCTCGGGCTAGCCTCTGCCTTTCCCGAACGCCTCACTGCACTCACTGGAGAAGACCACGGCCCCAAGGGACCGCGACAGGTCCCAGGCGAGGTGCACCGAGTCGGCGAGCACGGCGTGGCATTGTGCGCACTGGAAAACAGCGCACCTCTCAGGCTGCAGCCAAGACGGCAGCTGCGAGACGGCGGCCGGCTCCTCAGCCCCCAGCCCTGCGGGGCCGAGCGGCGAGGACCCCTTCACCACCTGTGTATCCCACTCCATGGAGGTCGTAAAAGATGCTTCGTCAACCGCCCTCTCAGTGCCATCACAAAAGTCACCCTGGGGCGGCGTTGCACAAGGGGAGCGATGCCGCCGCGGCTGAAACGCCATCTTCTCTCAGCCGGCGCCGTCGTTTCGAATACACGCCAGGCCCCGCCCCAAGCACAGCTCCTGCGTCCTCATTGGACATCGTGGGCAATCCAAGCACTGGAGTCCCAGTCCGCGCACTCGTTACCTGAACCGGCCTTACAGGCCCTTCGGCGCCTGCGTATTCGTGAAGTGTGAGAAAAGCGCGCGACTGTTGGGACGGGAAATCAGCCTTTCTATTGGTCAGGGTTAGAAACCCCGCCTTTGAGGCATTTTCAACCAATGGAAGCGCGGCATTCTTCATTTAAACTGTCTATAAATTTCAGCTTAGTCAAAGTTAAGAGTGGCGCCAGGGATTTGAACCTCGCTTACGAGACTTGGTGATCCATCTTCTGAGTATCGCCGGGATTTTGAATCGCGATGATCATCCCCTCCCTAGAGGAGCTGGACTCCCTCAAGTACAGTGACCTGCAGAACTTAGCCAAGAGTCTGGGTCTCCGAGCCAACCTGCGGGTACGACGCTGGCGGGGCAGTTCCCTGGGCGGGCGCGGCGGGAGTAGCGGCCTCAGGGAGATGCGGTGCGAAGGGACCGAGCGGGAAGCCCGGGGACTGAAGCAGCCGTCCCTGCCCCTCGGGCAGTAGATGTGGTTCACGGTGGTCCCAGTTAGAACTCTGATAAACGGAAGAGGAACTGTAGTTTTCACCTCATTTTGAAGCTGGCTTGTCTGGGTGCTCACATGATAAGCCTCTGTTCCGAGGGGTGGTTTGTTGTTTTTCGTTTTTTGTGGTTTTTTTTTTTTTTTTGAAATTACTTTATACCTCTCAGGTCATCGATTACGAAACGCAGGCCCAGAAAGCAGAAGGGGTGTCGTTAATCGTTAGACAATTAAGTAAATAATTGGCTCAGCTTCTAGAAAACCCCACACAGACTTCAGTGATTTGTAATATTGCCGATAATCTCTTGATACTTTATTGATGGACCTGTCAGGGGGAAAGAAAAAATCTACTTTTAGGGGACCACCTCCTTGGGTAAATTTTTATAACTCAGCCCTGATCTAGTATACTCATGTGCTTATTGATGACTGTTGTGGTGATGGTATCTATCAAAACCAGTAAGGTCTTTGACTCCGAGGCTACAAGATGTTAGGGGAATTGGCCGGGCGCGGTGACTCATGCCTGTAATCCCAACACTTTGGGAGGCCAAGGTAGTTGGATCACCTGAGGTCAGGATTTCGAGACCAGCCTGGCCATTAAAAAATTAGCCGGGCGTGGTGGCACACGCCTGTGATCCCAGCTACTCGCCTGTGATCCCAGCTACTCGGGAGGCTGAGGCAGGAGAATCGCCTGAACCTGGGAAGCCAAGGTGGCAGTGAGCCAAGATCGCACCCACTGCACTCCAACCTCGGTGACAGAGCGAGACTCAGTCTCAAACAAAACAAAAACAAACAAACAAAAAACAAGATGTTAGAAGATTTGGGGATTCAATGTAGGATAGCGGTTTTATATATTTTGTTAATAGTTGAGACTTCCCACATAATACTGCTGTATGCTCTCTAGGTTTGTCCTGCAGGCTATGATACTGACACTGAATAAATGCCTAAATCAGTCGTCACAAATGTTTTTCTTTTCTTTTTTTTTTTTTCTTTGAGACAGACTCTTACTCTGTCTCCCGGTCTGGAGTGCAGTGGCGCAATCTCGGCTTACCACAACCTCCACCTCCCGAGTTCAAGCGATTCTCCTGCCTCAGGCTCCTGAGTAGCTGGGATTACAGGCGCGTGTCACCATGCCCGGCTAATTTTTGTATTTTTAGTAGAGACTGGAGTTCACCATGTTGGTCAGGCTGGTCTCGAACTCCTGATCTCATGATACGCCCGCCTCAGCCCCCCAAAGTGCTGGGATTACAGGCGTGAGCCACCACGCCCGGCCTAAATTGTTTAAACAAAATAATCAGGGCCTAAGTGCCTGTTGGGGCTGAATGACCAAAGGGTTTTCCTTGTGGATATTTCTGGGCTATAGTGGTTTGTGGCTCCCCTATACTTTGTAAACAAAGCCTTAATATCTCAGCCTAAATTCCTTAGGCTTTTTTGCTGCCTAGCTAGAATCTTTTATCCACGGCTGCATCCCTGAACACTTGGAACTTTTATCTGTCTTTGTCCCATTGCTCATTTTGACCCTTTGGCCTCAGATCACCTTCTTTCTCCTTTATCTGCCTGACTCTGTGTGTGTGTGTGTATTTTTAGTAGAGATTGGGTTTCACCATCTTGCCCAGGCTGGTCTTGAACTCCTGGGCTCAAGCGATCCTCCGGCCACGGCCTCCCAAAGCCCTGGGATTATAGGCGTGACCCACCACGCCTGGCCCATATCAAGTATTTATAGGTGAAATGTTACGATACCTGTAAAATTTGCTGTAGAATACTCAAGGAAAAAGAGGGAAACTAGATGAAGTAAGAACGCAGAATGTTAATAATTACTGAAACTGCTAATAGGTACATGGGGGGATTGCACTATTTTCTCTACTTTTGTAGAAATTTTCCATAATAAGATGTTTTAAATTACAAACTCTTGGTACAACCCAGGTGCTCATTAAGTCAATTGCCTTTTGAAATTGTAGTACGTAGCCAAAAAATTTATAAATTGCTCTAATTATCAAGATTTGATTAAAATGAAACACTACAATTTAAATAAATTAAATAAATTTTACTAGTATAAATATACTAGTATAATAGTGTAAATACTATTTCAGTTTAATCAAATCTTGATAATTTTACTAGTATGATATTATTAAAAATAAATTTATGGCCGGGCATGGTGGCTTGCGCCTGTAATCCCAGCATTTGGGAGGCCGAGGCAGGTGTATCACCTGAGGTCAGGAGTTTGAGACCAGACTGGCCAACATGGCAAAACCCCATCTCTACTAAAAATACAAAAATTAGCCGGGCGTGGTGACGGGCACCTGTAATCCCAGCTACTAGGGAGGCTGAGGCAGGAGAATTGCTTGAACCCAGGGAGGCAGACGCTGCAGTGAGCCAAGATCATGCCATTGCACTCCAGCCTGGGCAACAAGAGCGAAACTCTGTCTAAAACATAATAATAATAATAAATAAATTTATAAGAGATAATATTAGCTCTTTTGAGAGACTTCTCTTAATGGTAAAGCAAATTGAAGGAACCAGTTATTATTAGTGTGGCGACTAATTATTAGTATGGCGACTATTATTATTAGTGTGGCGACTGGTCCTTTTGTCACTCATGCCCTCACTTCCTTTCTTACCAGCTTAAATTACAAACTCTGGCACTATTTCCACTTCCTTGCACCTCCCTATACTCACCTGGCAAAACCCAAGCCTGATTAAACCCAACTATGTGCTTAATCTTTGCCTATACCTCTGCAGCTAACTCTAGCTGGAGAAAACACCTAACTTTGTTGAGTGAACTTATTTTACATATGCAACTCTAAACCTTAATGTGGGCATTTGATCTTTCTCCTTTTTTTTTTTTTTTTTTTTTTTTTTTTTTTTTTTTTTTTTTTTTGAGATGAAGTCTCGCTCTGTTGCCCAGGCTGCAGTGACACAATCAGGGCTCACTGCAGCCTCAACCTCTCAGGCTCAAGGCATTCTCCCACCTCAGCCTCCCAAGCAACTGGAATTACAGGCACGTGCCACCACACCTGGCCCATTTTCTTCTTAGTCATGAACTTTCCTATTTTTGAAGATAATTACTTTTTATCATCTTGACTCAACTTGGCTCCCTTCCCTCCTTTGATGACTTTACCACATAGGTCATGGGAAAGTAGATGAAATCGATAGAAAACTGCCTGATCCTTCAACCACCAAATCCCCTGCTTTTTTCCTTTTCTTTTTTCTTCTTTTTTTTTTTTTGAGACAGAGTCTTGCTCCGTCAGCCAGGCTGGAGTTCTCTGAAGTGCAGTGGCATAATCAGGGCTCACTGCAGCCTCAACCTCCCGGGCTCAAGCAATCCTCCCAACTCAGCCCCCCTGAGTAGCTAGGACTACAGGCATGACCACCCTGCCTGGCCAATTGTTTTTAAATTTTAGTAGAGATGAGGTCTGACTATGTTGCCCTGTCTGGTCTCCAACTCCTGAAATTCAGCAATCCTTGCGCCTTTGCCTCCCAAAGTGCTGGGATTACAGGCGTGAGCCCCTAGTCTTGGCCGCACCACCAAACCTTCTAGCCACCCTGCATCTACATGCGCATACTCTGCTTCTTTGCCTGTCTAAGAGCAACCTTTCCATTTATGCTGAAGATCCTGGGCCCTCTTGCCTCCCCTAGGACTACATTCCTACAATTAGAACCTCTCTCCTGCATTAATTTCTCCACTCTGCTAGCTTATTTGCCATAAGGCATGCAATCATGTTTTAATATCACCCATCTTTCAAAAAAATAAAAAAGCCAAAATCCTCTCCTGATCCCATGTCCTCATTCCATCTACTGCCCTATTTTTCTGTTCTTTTCTACTGAAATTGCTTGTATCAAGGTCACCATCTTACAAAGTTTCCCTCTCTCCCCTCACCTGGGCCTATCAGTAGCATTTGGCATGATTGAACATGCCCCTCTGCTCCAGCCACTTTCTGTTCTAGACTTTGATATTTCACTCTGTCCTGCCTTACTAGCACTTCTTTCTGGTTTCCTTGGTTGGTTCTTCATCTGCCAGATCTCTAAATGTGGAGTGCCCCCAGGGCTCTCTTCCTCTCTCTTTTCTCTAACTGTGCTCTATCCCTGGGTAATCTTATCCACCCCATTTTTTTTTTCTTTTTCTTTTTTTTTTTTTTTTTTGAGATGCAATCTTGCTCAGTCACTCAGGCTGGAGTGCAGTAGCGCCATCTCGGCTCACTGCAACCTCCACTTCCCAGGTTCAAGCGATTCTCCTGCCTTAGCCACCTGAGTAGCTGGGATTACAGGTGCCCACCACCATGCCCAGCTAATTTTTTTGTATTTTTAGTAGAGACAGGATTTCACCATGTTGGCCAGGCTGGTTTTGAACTCCTGACCTCAAGTGCTCCACCTGCCTTGGCCTCCCAAAATGTTGGGTTTACAGGGATGAGCCACTGCATCCGGCCACTCCCATAAGTTAAAATTTACCCAGAAGCTAATGCCTCCCAAACCCACATCTCCAGTAGGACCTCTCTCTCCCCTAGGATGCTGACTCGTGTATTTAAGTGCATTTTCAACAACACGTTCAGGTCCAAGCATTGACAGTCTCTTCCCCCTCTCAGTACATGGGTCAGGCCCAGTTTGGATCACCCTCCTTCACCCACAGCCATCAATCCTTGTCAGCACCTCCTCCTAAATAGACCTGAAGTCTGACCTCTGGGCACCATCTCCAACGCTGCAAACTTGTGCCACAGCACTCTCATCTCTTGACCACTGCCTCAGTCTCCCTACTGGGCTTCCTGCCTCAACTCTTACCTCACAGTAGTGTTCTCTTGGTAGTTGGAGTGATATTTGAAACTTAGGGAAAAGAAAAAAAAGAGAGAGCAACCAGGCACAGTGGTTCATGCCTGTACTCCCAGCACTTTGAGGGGCTGTGGTGGTTGGATCACTTGAGGCCAGGAGTTCAAAACTGGCCTGGCCAGCATGGCAAAACCCCATCTCTACTTAAAAAAAAAATATATATATATATACAAAAATTAGCCAGGCGTGGTGGCATGTGCCTGTAATCCCAACTACTCGGGAGGATGAGGCACGAGAATCCCTGAACCCAAGAGGTGGAGGCTGCAGTGAGCCAAGATCATGGCACTGCACTCCAGCCTGGGTGACAGAGCGAGACTCTGTCTCCAAAAAAAAAAAAAACTTAGAATGTGTCTTTTTCTGATCAGTGCCCTCCAGTGACTCCTCTCACATTTAAAATAAAATCTAAACTTTTTCCAGTGTAATGAGAGAAACTTAGTTTGACCCTGATTTGGAGGGAAATTTTTTTAAAAAGAAAATAGCTAAAATTGGAGAGAAGGACATTTCATCACGGGCTACATATTAGTTGATATTAGGCTTTTCCTGAGTACATGAATGCATTAGAGGTTACGTGGGAAAATCTCTTCTTATTTTTAGGAGGTGTGGCTGATATATTTAGTGGTGAAGTATCATGATGTCTGGAACTCATTTTCAAATTCTTTCACAAGAAATATATGTTAATATAGAGAAACCAAATATGAGACAATGCAAATGATTGTTGAATCTTGGTGGGAAATATGAGTGTTTATTACACTACTTCGACTTTTTTTTTTTTTTTGAGACAGAGTTTTGCTCAGTGGCGTGATCTCAGCTCACTGCGCAACCTCCGCCTCCTGGGTTCAAACAATTCTCCTGCCTCAGCCTCCTAAGTAGCTGGGATTACAGGCATCACCACGCCCAGCTAATTTTGTATTTTTAGTAGAGACAGGGTTTCTTCATATTGTTCAGGCTGGTCTGGAACTCCTGAACTCAGGTGATCTGACTGCCTCAGCCTCCCAAAGTGCTGGGATTACAGGCATGAGCCACCGCACCCAGCCTACTTTGACTTTTCTATAGGCCTGACTTTTTTTTCTAATAACAAGTTAGGGGAATTGATTTTTTTTTTTTTTTTTTTTTTTTTTTTGAGACAAGAATTTCGCTCTTGTCACCTAGGCTGGAGCATAGTGGTGCAATCCTGGCTCACTGAAACCTCCACCTCCAGGGTTCAAAGGATTCTCCCGCCTCAGCCTCCTGAGTAGCTCAGACTACAGGTGCCCGCCACCATGCCCAGCTATTTTTATATTTTTTGCAGAGACAGGGTTTCACCCTGTTGGCCAGGCTGGTCTTGAACTCCTAACCTTGGGTGATCTACCCGCCTCAGCCTCCCAAAGTGCTGGGATTACAGGCATGAGTCACTGTACCTGGCCGAAATTCATAATTTTTGCTGTGGCCTTTACCTCTCTACTTGACCCAGCCTCTGGTCACCTCTCTGATCTCCCTGCCCTCCACACACCTCTGTTCACCATGCTTCTACCATAAGAGCAATTTCTGTCTTTCAACTCATGGGTCCATCTCAGGGCTCCTGTTCTTGGTGCTCACTCTGCTTGGAGTGCTCTTCACCTCCTACCTCTTTCCTCATTCACATCTCAGTTCAAGCCACCACCTCAGAGAGGCCTTTCCCAACCATCCTAATTCAGGTAGCATCCCCACCCCACCCCAGTTGCCCAGTTTTATTTTTGCATCATAATACCTGATGTCATATCATTCATTTCTAGCTTTCTTGAGTAACAGACTGTTTCACCACTGCTAGAAGATCCTGGAGGGCAATTACCTTGTCTGTTTAATTCATCACTCTGTAGTGTCTGGAACAGGGCCCAGCACAATAAATGCTTGTTGAAGGAATGCACAAATATATGCTGATAACTAACATCTGCACCTTCAGCACAACTCTTGAACACCACCTCATATCATTCACCCTCCTCACTGGGTTCTGCCGCAGGTGCCTCGCTTCATGCATTTTTGTACGTTTGGTGAAATTTTGAAGGTATATTAAGAAGGTATTAGAAAAATCAAGAATGCCTGAATTCTGCCCTGCCAATCATCCCCTTCCCAGAGAAAAAACAAGTAGAAAATAAGGTACCACTTTATTACTAGCTGAAATGGTGCCCGATGTCTTGATGCAGAGCATTCTGGTAAAGTGGATTGGAGAATGTGGCTCAGGCTTGCACCACAAGCAAAAGCTTGAGTACAAATCAAATTTCAAGATCTCTGCCATTCTTTACTGGACACATGGCCCATGATAAAAGGCATGAGAAGAATAGAGCCAAGCCTGGTGACTGGGCCCACCTTGAGAAGGATGGCTCAGGCCCTCAACTGCATGGCTGGGTAGAAGAGGAAGAAAAAGAGAACCCAGCCAAAAAACCTGACTTTTTTTTTTTTTTTTTTTTTAAATGGAGTCTTGCTCTGTCGCCCAGACTAGAGTGCAGTGGCGTGATCTCCTCAGCTCACTGCAATCTTCGCCTCCTGGGTTCAAGCAATTCTCCTGCCTTGGCCTCCCAAGTAGCTGGGACTACAGGTGCACGCCACCAATGCCCAGCTAATTTTTGTATTTTTATTAGGATGGGGTTTCCCCATGTTGGCCAGGCGGGGTTAAAACCCCTGACCTCATGATCCACCTGCCTCAGCCTCCCAAAGTGCTGGAATTACAGGCATGAGCCACTGCGCTCAACCAAACTTGACTTTTAAAGCACAGGAAAATGTAACCAATCAAATTAACATTCTCCTTTCAGGAAAGAACAAGAAGGGAAGTTTTCCTAGGCTGGGAAGAGAAGCTCCGTGTTCCCTTCCCCCCACAGAGACCTATAACCATCCCCCTAAGACCCCATCACCTTTGGCATTCCTCATCTTAGGGACCACACCACACTTCACCAGCTGTCCAAGCCAGAAACCTCGGCGTAACGAAGTTTCCCTCTTCCTCAACTCTCATGTTCACACTGATTTCACTTCCTAAGAAGGTTTTGACTTCATCCATACTGCCTTAGCCCCACTCTAGTTCAGGCCACAGCATCTCTGGCTCATCCCCATCAAATGCATCTTGCACATTGTTCAGGTAGAGTAATCATTCTGAGTAATGCAAAATTGGTTACCCACTGCCTTGCTGCAAGCTCTTCAGAGATTGCCCTTTTCTCGGAGGGTAAAATTCATACTCTTTAAAGGCTTGTAAGGCCGGGTAACATCAGGGCCCTGCTCACTTTCCCAACATTGTCTCCTACTATCTCCCACACCAGCTCCATGCTCCAACCACACTGAACTTAAGTTCTGTAAACACCCTCACTGTTGCCTTGCTGTGCCATTCCTCTACCTGTTTCTCTATGTCCAGCTCTCCCTTTCATCCTTCAGATCTCAGCAATTAGACACATCACATCTTTTATCTGAGAACTGCCCTGTGCAGACACTTGCTGAAGTCTAATCTAGCAGAGACCCATTCTTTCTAAGTTCTAGTCCTATGGTCTGACCAGAGTACATTTAATGAATACAAGAACAGCAAAAACTGTTCAACGTATCTTCCTTGTTTATTTGATTTTTGACTCTAATAATAAGGTCTCTCTTACAGGCAGACAAGTTGTTAAAAGCCTTGAAAGGCCACGTTAAACATGAGGCAAGAAAAGAAAATGAGAATCAGGTGAGTAATGTTTTTCACGTTTACCTGTTAGCTAGCAAAACATTTATATTTAGTTAATGGACAATTAACACACAACTAGTGATGATTTAAGACATGCTGTTGGCTGAGTGTGGTGGCTCACGCCTATAATCCTAGCACTTTGGGAGGCTGAGGTGGGCGGATCACTTGAGACCAGGGGTTCGAGACCAGCCTGGCCAACATGGTGAAACCCCATCTCTACTAAAAATACAAAAATTAGCCAGACTTGATGGCAGGAGCCTGTAATCCCAGCTACTTGGGAGGCTGAGACAGGGAGAATTGCTTGAACCCAGTAGGCAGAGGTTGCAGTGAGCCAAGATCGCGCCACTGTACTCCAACCTGGGCAACAGAGCAAGACTCCGTCTCAAAAAAAAAAAAAGATATGCTGTTTATTAAAAAAGAGATCTTTATTGGTAATAGTGCCAAGGACTGAATCCTTTCAGATTAACTATCTGCTGTTGTGAATGGTGAAACTGTTTTGCACCAATCTGTTGAATAAGATGTTTTTACACAAATACAAAGACTGAGTACTAGTTGCCAAATATTACAAGAGATGGCATGATTTGAGTAGGGAGGGAACTGGAGTTGAAATCAGAAACACCTAGGTCAAGTACCAGCTCTCATTTATTTCTCTGCAACATTAGAAAACTCAAACTCCTGGCCAGGCACAGTGGCCCATGCCTGTAATCCCAGCACTTTGGGAGGCTGAGGTGGGTGGATCACGAGGTCAGGAGATCGAGGCCATCTGGCTAAAATGGTGAAACCCTGTCTCCACTAAAAATACAAAAAATTCTCCAGGCTTGGTGGCGGGTGCCTGTAGTCGCAGCTACTCCGGAGGCTGAGGCAGGAGAATGGCGTGAACCCAGGAGGCGGAGCTTACAGTGAGCCGAGATGGCGCCACTGCAGTGCAGCCTGGGCGACAGAGCGAGTCTCCGTCTCAAAAAAAAAAAAAAACTCAAACTCCTCTTCTTTAAGATGGAAATAATATCTGTTCTGCTGAACTGAGTGTTGTGAGCATCACATGAAGTAGGGACTGTGAAAGTGACTTGTAAGCTGTAAAACAACGGCTGATGGGAGTTGTTATGGCCGCTTCAGACCCACACCAAAGATTTTTGATAAGGCATGACTCCTCAATGGATCCATGAGTGCTCCATTAGGGCCAGGATTCATTTATTCCTTTTGTTGTTATTGTTGTTGAGACAGAATCTTGCTCTGTCATCCAGGCTGGAGTACAGTGGTGTGATCTCGGCTCACTGCAACCTCCATCTCCTGGGGTCAAGCAATTCTCCTGCCTCAGCCTCCTGAGTAGCTGGGATTACAGGCATGCACCACCATGCCTGGCTAACTTTGTATTTTTAGTAGAAATAGGATTTCTCCATGTTGGTCAGGCTGGTCTTGAACTCCCAACCTTGGGTGATCCGCCCACCTCAGCTTCCCATAGTGCTGGGATTACAGGGGTGAGCCACCGTGCCCAGCTCATTTTTTGTATTTTTAGTAGAGATGAGGTTTCACCGTGTTGGCCAGGCTGGTCTCGAACTCCTGACCTCAGTTGATCTACCTGCTTCAGTCTCCCAAAGTGCTGGGATTACACGTGTGAGCCACTGCACCTGGCCTCAAATTTATTTTTGATTCCAGGCTTTAATTAACTGAAAATAGACAAGAACTATTTTTGAATTCTAGCTTTAAAAGTTTCTATATCAATAAATTTCTTTTTTATGGTTAAGGATACATGATTGTAGTGCCATTTGAAATTACAATTTTAGGCTGGGCTCAGTGACTCACACCTGTAATTCCCGCACTTTGGGAAGCTGAGGTGGGTGGATCACTTGAGGTCAGGAGTTCGAGACCAGCCTGGGCAACATGGTGAAACCCCATCTCTACTAAAATACAAAAATTAGCTGAGCGTGGTGGTGCACACCTGTAGTCCCAGCTACTCAGGAGGCTGAGGCAGGAGAATCACTTGAACCCGTGAGCCAGATGTAGTAAGCCAAGATCAAACCACTGCACTCCACCCTGGGAGGCAGAATGAGACTCCATCTCAAAACAAAACAAAGAAACAACAAAAAATTGTCTCTTTATATTCCAGCAACATGTGTAACTCAAAGGTATTGCTTCTAGGTTGGTGCAAATGTAATTGCGGTTTTTGCCATTACTTTTAAAAATGACAAAAACCAGGCCGGGCATGGTGGCTCACGTCTGTAATACTGGCACTTTGAAAGGCCAAAGTGGGTGGATCGCCTGAGGCCAGGAGTTTAAGACCAGCCTGGCCAATATGGCAAAACCCCATCTCTACTAAAAAATACAAAAATTAGCCGACCATGGATGCACACAGCTGTACTCCCAGCTACTCGAGGGGATGAGTCAGGAGAATTATTTGAACCCGGGATTCGGATGTTGCAGTGAGCCAAGATTACGCCACTGCACTCCACTCCAGCCTGGACAACAAAATGAGACTCCGTCTCCAAAAAAAAAAAAAAAGACAAAAACCGTACTTACTTTCGCACCAATCTAATACATGGAAACAGTTTCTCTTACTTTTTTTTTGAGACAGGGTCTCACTCTAACCCAGACTGTAGTGCAGTGGTGCAGTCAGGGCTCACTGCAGCCTGGACCTCCCAGGCTCAAGTGATCCTCTTGCCTCACTCCCCTGAGTAGCTGGGACTACAGCCGTGTATCACCATTCCTGGCTATTTTTTTATTTTTAGTAGATACGGGGTTTCACAATATTGCCCAGACTGGTCTCAAACTCCTAGGGTCAAGCAATTTGCCTACCTCTGCCTCCCAAAGTGCTGGTATTACAGACACCCTGCCAGTTTCTCCTCTTTTACTTTCTTCTCCATGACTATCGGGGAGTTGGAAAGTGGGATCCAGATCACATTTTTCTATTCTCATGTAAAAACCCCTGCTCTTTTTTTAGCTCATCTTGAAAAGGCCAAAGATAAAGAAAAAAAAAAATCTCTGCTCTTTTGAAATTTATGATCACCTCTTTTCTTTCTTTCTTTCTTTTTTTTTTTTTTTTTTTTTTTGAGTTTCACTCTTGCTGCCCAGGCTGGAGTGCAATGACACGATCTCAGCTCACTGCAACCTCCACCTCCCGAGTTCAAGCGATTCTCCTGCCCCAGCCTCCTGAGTAGCTGGGATTACAGGCATGTGCCGCCACACCCAGATAATTTTGTATTTTTAGTAGAAACGGAGTTTCACCATGTTGGTCAGGCTGGTCTCAAACTCCCGACCTCAGGTGATCCTCCCGCCTCAGCTTCCCAAAGTGCTGGGATTCCAGGGGTGAGCCACTGCACCCAGCGTATGCTTACCTATTTTAATCTCCCATCTGCTGAGCTCCTAGTTACTCTCTAGTGTTCTCTATCTCATGGTCGTCATTTCCTCGTGTCCTCATCTTATTTTGGACGAGTTCAAAGGTCCATCTGGATGTCTCTTCTTACTACTGCGGCCTCCTTGTCCTTAATGCTGGTGATCTTTGGTTTTGTGCTTGATCAGCCATCTGCTTCTCTGGGCATATCCTGGACCTTACATCACTTGGAACTATTACGCTTCTGTAATATTTCACCTCTGGTTAAGGCCTTTTATTCTCTTTTTTTTTTTTTTTTTTTTTTTGAGATGGAGTCTTGGTCTATCACCCAGGCTGGAGTACAGTGGCTTGATCTCGGCTCACTGCATCCAACTCCCCAGCTCAAGCAATTCTCCTGCCTCAGCCTCCTGAGTAACTGGCATTACAGGTGCACACCACCATGCCCAGCTAATTTTTGTGTTTTTAGTAGAGTGGAGGTTTTACCATGTGGGCCAGGCCCTCAAGTGATCTGCTCACCTTGGCCTCCCAAAGTGCTGGGATTACAGACATGAGCCACCACGCCCAGCCAGGCCTTCTATTCTTTAAGCTTTATTCTTTGATTCCCAACAGACATATTTTGTATTTTTTTAAATTTTTTTTCTTAATTAATTATTTTTTTTTTTGAGACAGACTCTCGCTGTGTCACCCAGGCTGGAGTGCACTGGCGCAATCTCAGCTCATTGCAAGCTCTGCCTTCCGGGTTCACGCCATTCTCCTGCCTCAGTCTCCCGAGTAGCTGGGACTACAGGCGCCCACCACCACACCTGGCTAATTTTTTTTTTTTTTTTTTTTTTTTTTGAGACGGAGTCTCGCTCTGCCACCCAGGCTGGAGTGCAGTGGCCAGATCTCGGCTCACTGCAAGCTCCACATCCCGGGTTCACGCCATTCTCCTGCCTCAGCCTCCCGAGTATCTGGGACTACAGGCGCCCGCCACCTCGCCTGGCTAGTTTTTTGTATTTTTTAGTAGAGACGGGGTTTTACCGTGTCAGCCAGGATGGTCTCGATCTCCTGACCTCATGATCCGCCCGTCTCGGCCTCCCAAAGTGCTGGGATTACAGGCTTGAGCCACCGCGCCCGGCCATTTTTTTGTTTTTTTAGTAGAGATGGGTTTCCACCGTGTTAGCCAGGATGGCCTCGATCTCCTGACCTCGTGATCTGCCCGCCTTGGCCTCCCAAAGTGCTGGGATTACAGGCGTGAGCCACCATGCCCGGCAATTAATTATTTTTGAAATGGGTTCTCACTCTGTCACCCAGGGTGGAGTGTAGTGGCACAATCATGGCTTGCTGCAGCCTCGACCTCAAGCAATCCTCTGACTTCAGCCTCATAAGTAGCTGGAACTGCAGGCACACTCACCACACCTTGTTACTTTTTAAAAAATTTTTTTGTAGAGACTGGGGTCTCGCTATGTTGCCTAGGCTGGGGAACTTTTTAAAAATACTGACAGCTGAGTACAGTGGCTCATGCCTGTAATCCCAACACTTTGGGAGGCCGAGGCGGGTGGATCATGAGGTCAAGAGATGGAAACCATCCTGGCCAAAATGGTGAAACCCCATCTCTACTAAAAATACAAAAATTCGCCGGGCTGGTGGCACACACCTGTAGTCCCAGCTACTCGGGAGGCTGAGGCAGGAGCATCGCTTGAACTCAGGAGCTGGAGGTTGCAGTGAGCCAAGATTGTGCCATTGTATTCCATCCTGGGTGACACAGCCAGACCCTGTCTCAAAAAATAAATAAATTATATAAATAAATAAATACTAATGTATGGCCAGGCACAGTGACTCATGCTTGTAATCCCAGCACTTTGGGAGGCTGAGGTGGGTGGATCAACTGAGGTCAGGAGTTCGAGACCAGCCTGGCCAACGTGGTGAAACCCTGTCTCTACTAAAATAAAAAAATTAGCTGGGCGTGGTGGTATGTACCTGTAATCCCAGCTAGTCATAAGGTTGAGGCAGGAGAATTGCTTGAGCCTGGGAGGAGAAGGTTGCAGTGAGCCAAGATCACGCCACTGCACTCTAGCCTGGGTGACAGAGCTAGACTCCATCTCAAAAAAAAAAAAAAAACCAATGTATAGGCCTCACCAAACCCCAAGCCAAATAAATAGACTATCAAGGGGTGGCCTGTGGCCATAATAGCGAAATAGACATCTGGTAGACTGCCTGCCCTCTAAAATATTGGAAGATTTCTCATTAAGGAAATTAAATAGTTATCAGACAAATTCTTCTGCCTTTGGGCATTCAAGGAAACACCAGCATAATGGCCTCCTCCCTACCCAAGGAATCCTACCAAATAACACACTTTTCTTGCACACTCAAGCTCCTAGTGAGGTTTTTCCTGATTTGCTATGAAATATGAATAGACATGGCCAGGCACAGTGGCTCACACCTGTAATCCCAGCACTTTGGGAGGCCCAAGCTGCAGATCACCTGAGTTCAGGAGTTGGAGACCAGCCTGGCCAATATGATGAAACCCCGTCTCTATTAAAAATATAAAAATTAGCCGGGCTGTGGTGGCGGGTGCCTGTAATCCCAGCTATTCAGGAGGCGGAGGTGGGAGAATCACTTGAACCTGGGAGGCATATGTTGCAGTGAGCAGAGATTGTGCCACTGCACTCCAGCCTGGGTGACCGAGGGAGATCCTGTCTCAAAAAAAAAAAAAGAAAGAAAGAAAGAAAGAAATATGAATAAACAACCAACAACCACCAGACATTTGAGGAAAGCCTGAAGTCTGAGAGAGAATAAGATAAATAAAAAGAAAATGGACTGGGCATAGAGGCTCACGCCTGTAATCCCAACATTTTGCAAGGCCAAGGCAGGAGGATGACATCAACCTAGGAGTTCACAACCAGCCTGGGCAACATAGTGAGACCCCATTTCTACAAAATTAAAATAAGTAGCTAGGTGTGGTAACACATACCTGTAGACCCAGCTGATTGGGAGGCTGAGGCAGGAGGGTCAGTTGAGCTTGGGAAATTGAGGCTGCAGTGAGCTATGATCAAGCCACTGTAATCCAGCCTAGGCAACAGAGCAAGACTTTGTATCTAAGAAAGAAAGAAAGAAAAAGATGACCTTAAAGGAAATGAAGATAATACAATATATAACTCCTGGCTTAGCCTCCCGAGTAAGTGGGATTACAGGCACGTGCCACCACGCCTGGCTAATTTTTGTATTTTTAGTATAGACAGGGTTTCACCATGTTGGCCAGGCTGGTCTCGAACTCCTGACCTCAGGTGATCCACCAGCCTCGGCCTCCCAAAATGCTGGGATTACAGGTGTGAGCACCCAGCTTAATAAATTTTTAATAATTTCAAGTAGAGATGGGGTTTTGCCATGTGGCCCAGGCTGGTCTCAAAGTCCTGGGCTCAAGTGATCCATCTGCCTCAGCCTCCTAAAGTGCTGGGATTACAGGTGTGAACCACTGCACCTGTCCCAATTTCTGTATTTATTCACACTAAAATAACTTTGAATGTTTTCCTACCCTAATTTATTAATTTGGGTTGCTAAGTGTGATTATTTCTTTGTAAATACTCTAAGTTTTTTTTTTTTCTTTGTTTTTTTTTTTTTTTTTTTTTGAGATGGAGTTTCACTCTTGTTGCCCAGGCTGGAGTGCAATGGCACCATCTTGGCTCACTGTAACCTCCCCCTCCCGGTTCAAGTGATTATCCTGCCTCAATCTCCCAAGTGGCTGGGATTACAGGCATGCACCACCATGCCCGGGTAATTTTTAGTAGAGATGGGGTTTCACCATGAAAGCCAGGCTGGTCTTGAACTGACCTCAGGTGATCCACTCGCCTTGGTCTCCCAAAGTGCTGGGATCACAGGTGTGAGTCACCGTGTCTGTCCTAAATATAATTCTTTTTTTTTTTTTTTTTTGAGACGGAGTCTTGCTCTGCCGCCCAGGCTGGAGTGCAATGGCTGGATCTCAGCTCACTGCAAGCTCCACCTCCCGGGTTCACGCCATTCTCCTGCCTCAGCCTCCCGAGTAGCTGGGACTACAGGCGCCCGCCACCGCACCTGGCTAGTTTTTTGTATCTTTTAGTAGAGACGGGGTTTCACCGTGTTAGCCAGGATGGTCTCAATCTCCTGACCTCGTGATCCGCCCGTCTCGGCCTCCCAAAGTGCTGGGATTACAGGCTTGAGCCACCGTGCCCGGCCCTAAATATAATTCTTGTCTTTGCCTACAATTTACTGCTAGAGAGTTTTAAATTTTTTCTTTTGCATATGTAATATGTTTTTTATTCTGTCTAAATTCTGATTCTTCCTGAGCATTATAACTGTAATGCATAGCACATAGCAGAGTAATACCTCTCTTTTCAGGATGAAAGTCAAACTTCTGCATCCTCTTGTGATGAGACTGAGATACAGATCAGCAACCAGGAACAAGCTGAGAGAGAGCCAACTGGCCATGTCACCAAAACAAGGAGAAGGCGCAGGACTGTCCGTGTGGACCCTGACTCGCAGGTGAATGGAAATATACAAATTGAAAATATAGGGCCAGGCGCAGTGGCTCAAGCCTGTAATCCCAGCACTTTGGGAGGCCGAGACGGGCGGACCACGAGGTTAGGAGATCGAGACCATCCTGGCTAACACGGTGAAACCCCGTCTCAACTAAAAAATACAAAAAACTAGCCGGGAGAGGTGGCGGGTGCCTGTAGTCCCAGCTACTAGGGAGGCTGAGGCAGGAGAATGGCGTAAACCCGGGAGGTGGAGCTTGCAGTGAGCTGAGATCCGGCCACTGCACTCCAGCCTGGGCGACGGAGCAACACTCCGTCTCAAAAAAAAAAAAAAGAAAATATACCACCACCTATGCCAAAATTGGCATACTCTTAGGGAGCTTTCTTTTTAAATTCCCATGTGATGTCATGTGTTTGTAAGCTTACTGTATGCTGTAAGCTCCATGAAAGCCCAGACCCGAGTCCAGCTGCTCATCACTGCATCCCAGGGCTTGGCCCTCAGGAAGCACTTTTTAAGTATTAAGCTCACATTAAATATTTGTTGTATAAATATGAACATTCATTAAGTGTTCACTTAAGTGAGGTGTAGTAGATAGGTAGGAAAGAGAAACAAGCATTAAATGTGCTTTTTGTTGTTTTTTTCATTGGTTTGTTTAAATTCTCCTTCCTACCTTGCCCCTGGCCTGGTGATCACCCTGTACTTAGTCTTTCAGCAGTGTGATCACATGATTAGCAAGGGGCTTCCCTCGCTTGCTTTCTGTAGACTCTGGTTTTATTCTTTTATCTTATCCTTTCATTCAAATGTAATTTTTACAAAGCACAGTCTTTTTTTTTTTTTTTTTTCTTTTTTTTGAGATGGAGTTTCCACTCTTTTCCCCAGTGTGGAGTGCAATGGCACCATCTCAGCTTACTGCAACCTCCACCTCCCAGGTTCAAGCAATTCTCCTGCCTCTGCCTCCTGAGTAGCTGGGATTACAGGCGGCCACCACCACACCCAGCTAATTTTTGCATTTTTAGTAGAGATGAGATTTCACTGTGTTGGCTGGGCTAATCTCAAACTCTTGACCTCTGGTGATCCACCCACCTTGGCCTCCCAAAGTGCTGGGATTACAGGTGTGAGCCACCATGCCCAGCCCCGAAACACAGTCTTAATTTTCTTTTCTATGTTCATATTGTTGCAGTAAACTGAGGAACGGAGAGACTAATACGGAGTACAGGAGGATTTGTTTGTTTTAGGCACACACCAGCTCAGAGGATTCACATCTGAAAGCTGACCCTTGAACAAAGATAGCCAAGGTTTTTATAAGCAGCTTTACAGAAGCAAAATAAAAGCAATTAATCATACAGTAACAGGTTACATAATCTATAGCATAAAATGACTTAGCCAGTGGCCTTGTAGCTGCATTAAAAGGAAAACAAGAACTGGCTAAATACAGACATTTGTAAAACATAATCATGCTAATCATGCTTAAGAAGCCTGGGAAAAGAGTAACAGTAAAAGAACTTGTGTTTCTCTTTTTTTTTTTTTTTCTTTCAACCTTGCTCTCGAATGGGGAAGGGGTTGGGGGGAGGGTGGTGTCTGGAGCTTATTCCTTTGGCCTTGGCTATTCAGACAGCGTTATCTCTAACTGTCTTTAAAGGGAGCTGCTAGGCAGAGGAAAACTTGTTCTTTTCTTTTGAACTCTTGCCTTGCCACATTCTGGGCCTTAGCTTTTACTTTTCTTGGAGTGAATAAATGCAGCACTTTTTATTATTATTTAAGTTTCTGCCTCAATATAGTCACTTGCTCAGTAGACTATCTTATGTTTCTTCATTTGTCCTTGCTAAGACAGTTAATCTTGCCATTTCTATTTTCCTCTTAATGTGCCCTATTATCTCCTATTCTCAAATTTACATCCTCATGACATTTGATAAGGCAGAGAACCAAATCTGCCACCAAAAATCTCATTATCCTACTTTTCTTCCTTTAACCCCTTTTCCCCCTCACTTTGGTACTTGTCTTTGGAAGGCAGCAATTATTTCTTATTTATCATCAAAATATTTTATTTTCTTTTTAAATTTGTAGCAGAATCATTCAGAGATAAAAATAAGTAATCCCACTGAATTCCAGAATCATGAAAAGCAGGAAAACCAGGATCTCAGAGCTACTGCAAATGTTCCTTCTCCACCAGATGAGCACCAAGGAGCTGAGAATGCTGTTTCCTCAGGTAAACGTGGAATAAATGGTATGTCAAGTGACTTGAAAAACCAAAATTGCTAGAAGTAGCTGGGTACGTTAGTTTCCTAGGACTGTCGTGACAAAGCACCACAAACTGGACAGCTTAGAAAAACAGAAATTTACTCTTTCATAGTTCTAGAGGCTGGAAGTCCAAAATCGATGTGTCAGCAGGACCATGCTTCTCTGAGACTCTGGGTGGAATCCTTCCTGACTACTCTGACTACTCTGCGATGGCTGTCGACGCCTGGTGTTCCTTGGGTTGCAGCTGCATCATGCCAGTCTCTGGCTCTGACAGTGCATGACATTCTCCCTATATGTCTCTTTAATAGGACACCAGTCATATTGGATTAGGATCCACCCAAATAGGCCAAGCATAGTGGCTGATGCCTGTAATCCCATTACTTTAGGAAGCCAAGTCAGGAGGATTGCTTGAGCCTAGGAGTTTAGGACCAGCCTGGGCAACATGGCGAGACCCTGTCTCTACAAAAAGTCAAAAGAATCAGTCAGCCATGATGGTGCACATCTGTGGTCCCAGCTACTCAGGAGGCTGAGGTGACAGGGTCGCTTGAACCCAGGAGGTTAAGGCTGCAGTGGGCCATCTTCATACCACTTCACCCCAGCGTGTACAGAGTGACACCCTATCTCAAAAAATTAAAAGAACGTCCAAATGATGTCATTTTAACCTTAATACATCTGAAAAAAATTCCTATATCTAAATAAGGTCATGTGACAGGTACCAGTGGTTAGGACTTCAACATATCTTTTAGGGGCCACAATTCAACCCATAGCACCATGTTATAGAATTTCTTTTTTTTTTTTTTTTTAGACAGAGTCTTGCTCTGTCGCCCAGGCTGGAGTGCAAAGGTGCAATCTCTGCTCACTACAACCTCCGCCTCCCGGGTTCAAGCAATTCTCCTGCCTCAGCCTCCCAAGTAGCTGGGATTACAGGTGCGTGCCACCAGGCCCAGCTAATTTTTGTATTTTTAGTAGAGATGGGCTTTCACCATGTTGGCCAGGCTGGTCTCGAACTCCTGACCTCGTGATCCACCCACCTCAGCCTCCCAAAGTGCTGAGATTACAGGCATGAGCCACCGCACCTGGCCTTCCTTTCACTTCCTTTTGCTTACTAAACCTCTGCTCCTAAAAAATAAAAATAATAATAAATAAATAAATGAAGGCCGGGCGCGGTGGCTCAAGCCTGTAATCCCAGCACTTTGGGAGGCCGAGACGGGTGGATCACAAGGTCAGGAGATCGAGACCATCCTGGCTAACCCGGTGAAACCCCGTCTCTACTAAAAAAAAATACAAAAAACTAGCCGGGCAAGGTGGCGGGCGCCTGTAGTCCCAGCTACTCGGGAGGCTGAGGCAGGAGAATGGCGTGAACCCGGGAGGCGGAGCTTGCAGTGAGCTGAGATCCGGCCACTGCACTCTAGCCTGGGTGACAGAGCGAGACCCCGTCTCAAAAAATAAATAAATAAATAAATAAATAAATAAATAAATGAAAATAAAATATCTCAGTATCAGTTTCACCTGGGCAAATCTGCTAGGGCCCTGAGCCTTGCCAGAGGAGGAGTTAGAGAGATTGAGGGAGGATAATCCATTCCAGTATTCACCAAGCAGTTAAATCTGGAATTTCTAATCCTGAGCCTTCTCATTTTCCCTAAAACTTTGAGTGTCATACTGAATCTAGAAAATTACAGGAAAAAATGTTCTGATTCCTTGGGTCTGAGATGGGCCTGAGAATCTTCAGTTTTTAACAAGTCTCCCAGGTAATTTTTTACTTTTTATTTTTTTGAGACAGGGTCTTGCTCTGTTGCCCAGGCTGGAGTGCAATGGTGCGATCTCAGCTCACTGCAGCCTTAGCCTCCCGAGTAGCTGGGACTACAGGCATGCACTACCATGCTCAGCTAATTTTTGTAGTTTTAGTAGAGATGGGCTTTCACCATGTTGCCCAGGCTAGTCTCAAACTCCTGAGCTCCAGTAATCTGCCCACTTCAGCCTCCGAAAGTGCTGGGATTACAGGTGTGAGCCACCATGCCTGGCCAATATTTTTCAATACAGGCCAGTTTTTTGTCCTCTGAGTTGGTTTGTCTAATACGTCCTCATGTTTAGATTCAGACTAGGAACTGTTGGCAGGAATCCCACAGAGCAATGCTGTTGCTTTCTCAGTAGGCACCCTAGGAGGCACAAGTGCTGGGTGTTCCTATGACTAGTCTTGTTAACTTCCATCCGTTGGTTATGGTGGTGTCTGCTAGGTTGCTCCTTTGTGAAGTTACTCTTTTACCACTTGTAATTAATAAGTATCCTGTGGAGAGTTACTCTACATAAGTATCCTTTTTTCGTTTGTTTCATTTTGTTTTGAGACAGTATCTCTCTCTGTTGCCCAGGCGAGAGTGCAGTGACAGGATCTAGGCTCACTGCAACTTGTGCCTCCTAGTCTCAAGCAATTCTACTGCTTCAGCCTTCCGAGTAGCTGGGATTATAGGTGTGCACCACCATGCCTGGGTAGTTTTTGTCTTTTCAGTAGAGACAGGGTTTCACCATGTTGGCCAGGCTGGTCTCCAACTCCTAACCTCAGGTGATCTGCCCGCTTTGGCCTCCCAAAGTGCCAGGATTCCAGGCATGAGCCACCAAGCCCTGCCAAATACCCTGTTTCTCATGAAACTTTCACTTTCTGGTTTTATAGCTAAAGTCTAAGCAGAAGCCCCTGCAACCATTCCAACTCTGACAGAACATTGTTTTGCCTTGTTTTACGGATACATTGGGGAAACTTAAGGACGAGACCTTTAGAAATGGTATTTCTTGGAAACCTACTTGCTTATAAATCAGTGATTGAAAGAAAATTTTAAAAAAAATTAATAAGAGATGAAAGCTCATTGAATATTTTTAAAATAGATTACTTCAAGTTGAAAAAGATGTAAGATTGAGACTTTCTTATATTTTAAGATTAGACTCATAGCTCTATAGTATATTATACGGGGCCCTTTATGGTTTAACCCGCTATCTGTCCTATTCCCAATGTCCTCCACTCCCTCTTATGTACCCTACACTTCAGCAATTTCAGCCTACCTCAGTTTCTCTGAATGTCATTATTTCCACTGTACTATAACCTTATATATCACTATTGTTCCCTCTGCCTGGTATGGTTCTTTTCCTTCCTTGCCTAATAAATTCCATTAAGGTCAAAAAAATAAGCAACAGAATTTGAGAAATGATTATGGTAAGTGGGAAAAAATTACCTAACCTAATATATACCATAATTTCAACTGGAGTTAAATAATAATAATAATAAGCTGGCTACAGTGGCACATGGCTGTAGTCCCAGCTACTCTGGAGGCTGAAGCAGAAGTATCACTTGTGCCCAGGAGTTTGAGACTAGCTGGGCAACATAGTGAGACCCTGTCTCTTAAAACAAGCAAACAGGCCAGGTGCAGTGGCTCTTGCTTGTAATCCTTACACTTTGAGAGGCCAAGGTTGGTGGATTACCTGAGGTCAAGAGTTCAAGACCAGCCTGGCTATAAACAAACAAACAAATGACCACAACCAAAATAAGCAGAAGAAGCAGAGGACCAGAGGAAATATGCCAGATGTTCATGGTGTTTCTTTGGCTGATTGGATTACCTGACTTTTATCACATCAGTTGTAACGATATTATGTTCATAATAAAAACTGAAAAAGTTGTTTTTTAACCGATACGTATATGTTTAAATTTAATTTATATTAAATAATGTTTTAACAATAGAGACGGGGTCAGGGCCAGGCATGGTGGCTCACTCCTGTAATCCCAGCACTTTGGGAGGTCAAGGCGGGCAGATCATGAGGTCAGGAGATGGAGACCATCCTGACTAACACGGTGAAACCCCATCTCTACTAAAAATACAAAAAGTTGGCCGGGCATGGTGGCGGATGCCTGTAGTCCCAGCTACTCAGGAGGCTGAGGCAGGAGAATGGCATGAACCCAGGAGGCAGAGCTTGCGGTGAGCCGAGATGGCGCCACTGCACTTCAGTCTAGGCGACAGAGCGAGACTCCATCTCAAAAAAAAAAAAAAACACGGCCGGGCGCGGTGGCTCAAGCCTGTAATCCCAGCACTTTGGGAGGCCGAGACGGGCGGATCACGAGGTCAGGAGATCGAGACCATCCTGGCGAACACCGTGAAACCCCGTCTCTACTAAAAAAATACAAAAAAAAACTAGCCGGGCAAGGTGGCAGGCGCCTGTAGTCCCAGCTACTCGGGAGGCTGAGGCAGGAGAATGGCGTAAACCTGGGAGGCGGAGCTTGCAGTGAGCTGAGATCCGGCCACTGCACTCCAGCCCGGGCTACAGAGCGAGACTCCGTCTCAAAACAAAACAAAACAAAACAGAGATGGGGTCTCGCTGTGCTGCCCAGGCTCGTCTCAAACTCCTGTGCCCAAGCCATCTGCCCATCTCAGCCTCCCAAAGTGCTGGGATTACAGGCATGAGCCACTGCACCTGGCCAACTTTCTGTATTTTTATTTTATGTATTTATTTTTTTTGAGACAGAGTCTTGCTTTGTTTCCAGGCTGGAGTGCAATGGTGCAGTCTCGGCTCACTGCAACCTCCGCCTCCCGTTTTCAAGCAATTCTCCTGCCTCAGCTTCCCGAGTAGCTGGGATCACAGGCACACCCCACCTCGCCCAGCTAATTTTTGTATTTTTAGTAGAGACGGGGTTTCACCATGTTGGCCAGGATGGTCTCGATCTCTTGGACTCATGATCCACCTACCTCAGCCTCTCAACGTGCTGGGATTACAGGTGTGAGCCACTGGGCTCCACAGGCGTCAGAAAATTTCTGAATGCCTACTTGAAGCATATGAACTGTAATCGTAGGAATGCTGTAACTAATTCTTTGTGCTCCTTATGTGCTATTTCTACAACCACCTTGGCAGAGCCTACCATGTGAAAATGCTCTGTTAACTTACACATATTTCTTTTTCCTTTCTTTTTTTTTTTTTTTTTTTAAAAGAGATGGAGTCTCACTCTATTGCCCAGGCTGGAGTGCAGTGGTGCGATCTTGGCTCACTGCAAGCTCCGCTTCCCGGGTTCATGCCATTCTCCTACCTCAACCTCCGAAGTTGCTGGAACTACAGGCACCCGCCACTACGCCCGGCCAACTTTTTGTATTTTTAGTAGAGACGGGATTTCACCATGTTAGCCAGGATGGTCTCAATCTCCTGACCTCGCGATCCGTCCGCCTAGACCTCCCAAAGTGCTGGGATTACAGGCGTGAGCCACCATGCCCGGCCACATATTTCTTAATGAGAACTTTTTTGATATCCTTCATTATTTCTGTGTCTTTGGATTTAGGTAACAAAGATTCAAAGGTACCTTCAAAAAGAAAGAAATCTGTCTACACGGATGAGTCATCCAAACCTGGAAAAAATAAAAGAACTGCAATCACTACTCCTACTCCAAGTAAGTTTTGTAGGCAAAGCCATAATAAGTAATGGTTGCCCCACTTCAAACTGATGTTAGACTGGAACAGCTAAAAGCATAGAGGCTGGAACCAGTTTACATTCTAGTTCTCTCATCTTTTAGGCTTAAGATCTTGGGGAAATTACTCATCTTCAATAAACTCACTTCCTCAGTGTAAAGTGGAAATAGTTATGGTACCTATTTCTTTTTTTTTTTCTTTTTTTTTTTTTGAGACAGGGTCTTGCTCTCTCGCCTAGGCTAGAGTGCAGTGGCGTGATCTTGGCTCACTGCAACCTCTGCCTCCCAGGTTCAAGTGATTCTCCTGCCTCAGCCTCCCGAGTAGCTGGGACTACAGGTGTGCTCCACCACGACCAGCTGATTTTTGTATTTTCAGAAGAGACGGGGCTTCACCATGTTGGCCAGCATGGTCTCGATCTCTTGACCTCGTGATCTGCCTGCCTCAGCCTCCCAAAGTGCTGAGATTCCAGGTGTGAGCCACCCTGCCTCGCCTATAGTACCTATTTCATCAGGTTGATAGATACATAAATTGAGAATACTTTTTCCACTACTGCTTCCCTATCATGGCAAATAGCATGCAGCAAGGATTCAATAAACATCTGATGAATGAATGTACGAAGTACTTGGTACAATGCCCACCTTCTAATAAGTTTTTCATAAGTCTAAATGACTCTGTTTTTGGACATGTAATTCTTCTTCTCTCTTGTATTGTTGGAACATTGCTTAGCACATAGAATGTTGATTATTATATTTATAGTAGTTACAATGCTGCTCATCTTATATTCAAAATCCAGTAAATGTTCATATACTTAATCAGAACAGGATACAGCAGGGGTCAGCAAACTGCTGCCTCCCTTGGCCTGTCTTATATCCTTTGAGCTAATAATGGTTTTTATATTTTTTAAAGAATTTAAAAACAAGAAGAATGGCCAGGCATGGTTCTCACACCTGTAATCCCAGCACGTTGGGAGGTGCAGGGGGGTGGATCACCTGAAGTCGGGAGTTTGAGAACAGACTGGCCAGCATGGTAAAACCCCGTCTCTACTAAAAATACAAAAAAATTAGCTGGATATGGTGGCAAGTGCCTTTAACCCCAGCTACTCAGAAAACTGAGGCAGGAGAATCGCTTGAACCCAGGAGGCGGAGGTTGCAGTAAGCCAAGATCACGCCATTGCACTCTAGCCTGGGTAACAGAGCAAGACTCCATCTCAAAAAAAATAAATAAAAACAAGAAGAATATGAGACAGAGACCATATCACATGTTGCCATAAGGCCTAAAATACTTTTTTTGTTTGTTTTCTTTTTGTTTTTGAGATGAAGGTTTGCTCTTATTGCCCAGGCTGGATACCTCCCGGGTTCAAGCGATTCTCCTGCTTCAGTGTCCTGAGTAGCTGGGATTACAGGCATGTGCCACCACACCCGGCTAATTTTTGTATTTTTAGTAGACAGGGTTTCTCCATGTTGTTCAGGCTGGTCTCGAGCTCCCGACCTCAGGTGATCTGCCCACCTTGGCCTCCCAAAGTTCTGGGATTACAGTTGGGAGCCACCATGCCCAGCCAAGCCTTAAATACTTTTATCTAGCCCTTTATAGAATAAGTTTATCAGTCGTTGACATACAGCATTATAAAATATCAAATTCATGATTAAATAAAGACCACTTGTGACTAATTGGTAAGGGAGAAGATAAATCTTCTACTGTCATCCTCTGGACTAAACCAAGATGTCAATTTAGTGAAATTTGTCAATGAGGAGATGGTGAATGTTTGATAGTTTATAAGATGAATGTGCTTTGCCCCTGAGTTTCCAAAAACTAAGTATTTTGAAATTAATGTTTTAGCAAAAATTATATTGAAGTTGAATATCAGGGATGCAAAAAAGAGAATAAGTGTTAACGGAAAAACACAGAGAAGGTAAATGGATTTTGTTTTGTTACTAACTTTTATATTGGGGGAACATTCTAGACTTTAAGAAGCTTCATGAAGCTCATTTTAAGGAAATGGAGTCCATCGATCAATATATTGAGAGAAAAAAGAAACATTTTGAAGAACGCAATTCCATGAATGATCTGAAGGTATGTAGATAAAATTATGTTCTTAATGGGACTAAACTGTTTGATTATAATTTTGAAACTATATAACACCATGGTTACAACAACTGGCTATCACTCTACCAGTAGATTTGTTTGAGTTTAATATATCTTTATCTGGCCGGGCGCGGTGGCTCAAGCCTGTAATCCCAGCACTTTGGGAGGCCGAGGCGGGCGGATCACAAGGTCAGGAGATCGAGACCACAGTGAAACCCCGTCTCTACTAAAAATACAAAAAATTAGCCGGGCGCGGTGGCGGGCGCCTGTAGTCCCAGCTACTCAGGAGGCTGAGGCAGGAGAATGGCGGGAACCCGGGAGGCGGAGCTTGCAGTGAGCCGAGATCGCGCCACTGCACTCCAGCCTGGGCAACAGCGTGAGACTCCGTCTCAAAAAAAAAAAAAAAAATATATATCTTTATCTAAAACTTGCTTTCCCCTACTCTGAGAATTTTCAAAATCCTCTGGATAAAACTGAATCCATGGCCTAGCGCAGTGTCTCATGCCTGCAATCCTAGCATTTTGGGAGGCCAAGGCAGGTGGATTACCTCAGATCAGGAGTTCAAGGCCAGCCTGGCCAACATGGTGAAACCCTGTCTCTACAAAAAAATACAAAAAATTAGCAGGGGTTGGCACACGCCTGTAATCCCAGCTACTCAGGAGGCTGAGGCAGGAGAATCACTTGAACCAGGAGGCCAAGGTTACAGTGAGCCAAGATCATGCCACTGTGCTCCAGCCTGGGTGACAGAGTGAGACTCCGTCTGAAAAAACAGAAAACAGTGAATCCTGACTATGAGAAACTATTTCCAAAATGGCAATGTCATTCTACTTTCCATATTCAGATGTTTTGCCTATTACTTTCATTGAGGATGAACCAACTTATGGCTGAAGCCGTCTTCTTTCCCTTGTCCCTTATGTAAAGAAAAATGGGTGATTAATAGTGGCAAAGCTGAAGGGTTCCTGTGGTAACAGCTCCCTCTAGGGCTTTCAGTCCAGGTCCCACAGGACTCAAAGCCTCCTCAAAGTAAGAGAAGGTGATAAAGTCAACTCTGAGACTGAGTTAGCAGAGTAGTGAGTTAATAACATTCTAGCAAGTTGATGTTATTGGTATCTGGTGTTAAGGCAGTGCCGAAGGGAGGGCAAGAAACACATTTTAAAATATTGATTGATTTATGTATTTTTCTTATAAAGTCAGGGTCTCCCTGTGATGCCCAGGCTCTCCTTGAATGCCTAGGCTCAAGTGATCCTCCCACCTCAGCCTCCCAAAGTGCTGGGATTACAGGTGTGAGCCACCAGATTATATTTATTTCTATTCGCTGTATTTAATTCTTAACCCCATGTTTATGTTACATAACTTCCCTATTTCTTAAAAATAATTTAAGGCCTATTCTCAAAATAATTTAAGTTTATGGTATTAAATATAAAATAGTATAGTCAATTTAAAAGCACTGTTAGTGGGTACAGTATTGATTACCATCAGTCTCTCAGCTGAGTTTAAGTTTTCTGGCAGCTAGGGCCAAGAGGAAAACTCACTGGGTGATAAGTTGTAAATAATTTTATTTAAGTACCTAAGCTTCTTGGTGAGAAGCTTCATTGAAATAATAAACATTCATTTTAACAATGTAAAACCACTGTTACAATTTTTTTTTCTTTTTTTTTTTTGAGACAGTTTTGCTCTTGTTGCCCAGGCTGGAGGGCAATGGTACGGTCTCAGCTCACTGCAACCACTTCTGCCTTCCTAATTCAAGCGATTCTCCTGCCTTAGCCTCCCCAGTAGCTGAGATTACGGGCACCCGCCACCACACCCAGCTAATTTTTATATTTTTAGTAGAGATGGGATTTCATTATGTTTGGCCAGGCTGGTCTCGAACTCCTGACCTTAGGTGATCAACCCACCTCCCAAAGTGCTGGTATTACAGGCATGAGCCACCGCTCCCATCCTCATTGTTACCACATTTGAAGGCCCTGTTTATCAAACTTTTTTTTTTTTTTTTTTTTGAGATGCAGTCTCACTCTGTCACCCAGGCTGGAGTGCAGTGGTGCCATCTTGGCTAAACCTCTGCCTCCCGGGTGCAACAGATTATTTTGCCTCAGCCTACCAAGTAGTTGGGATTACGGGTGCCCACCACCACACCCGGCTAATATTTGTATTTGTAGTTTTATTTATTTATTTTTTTAGACAGAATCTCATTGTGTTGCCCAGGCTGGAATGCAGTGACACAATCTCGGCTCACTGCAAACTCTGCCTCCTGGATTCAAGTGATTCTCCCACCTCAGCCTCCCAAGTACCTGGGATTACAGGCGACCATCACCACGCCCAGCCAATTTTTGTTTGTTAGTTTGTTTTGACACAGAGTTTCGCTCTTGTTGTCCAGGCTAGAGTGTAATGGTGCAATCTTGGCTCACCGCAACCTCCACCTCCCAGGTTCAAGCGATTCTCCTGCCTCAGCCTCCTGAGTAACTGGAATTATAGGCGCTCGCCATCACGCCTGGCTAATTTTTTGTATTTTTAGTAGAGATGGGGTTTCACTATGTTGGCCAGGCTGGTCTTGAACTCATGACCTTGTGATCCACCCACCTCAGCCTCCCAAGGTGCTAGGATCACAGGCATGAGCCACGGCCCCCAGCCCCTGCTACTTTTTATATTTTTAGTAGAGACAGGATTTCACCATGTTGGCCAGGCTGGTCTCAAACTCCTGACTTCAGGTGATCCACCCACCTCGGCCTCCCAAAGTGCTGGGATTTCAGGCATGAGCCACCGCTCCTGTCCTCACTGTTACCACATTTGAGCATTTGAGGGCACAGTTTATCAGTCTCTCTTTTTTTTTTTTTTTTGAGACAAGTGTCACTGTCACCTAGGCTGGAGTGTAGTGGTGCAATCTTGGCTTACTGCAACCTGCACCTCCCGGGTTTGACAGATTTCGCCAGCATTGCAAAACCCTGTCTCTACTAAAAATACAAAAAATACCCAGCCGTGGTGGTGAGCACCTGTACTCCCAGCTACTCAGGAGGCTGAGACAGGAGAATCACTTGAACCCAGGAGGCGGAGGTTGCAGTGGGTGGAGGTCATACTATTGCACTCCAGCCTGGGCAACAGATCAAGACTCCATCTCAAAAAAACAAAAAAAATAGGCCGGGCATGGTGGCTCACACCTGTAATCCCAGCACTTTGGGAGGCTGAGGCAGGCGGATCACCTGAGGTCAGTGGTTTGAGACCAGCCTCACCAACATGGAGAATCCCCGTCTCTACTAAAAATACAAAATTATCTCATCATGGTGGTGCATGCCTGTAATCCCAGCTACTCGGGAGGCTGAGGTAGGAGAATTGCTTGAACCCGGGAGTCAGAGGTTGCAGTGAGCTGAGATCATGCTATTGCACTCCAGCCTGGGCAACAAGAGTGAAATTCCACCTCAGAAAAAATAATAAATTTACTTTAATTTAATTTTAAAAAGCTTTCAGCCAGTCACAGTGGCTCACACCTGTCAATCCAGAACTTTGGGAGGGTGAGGCCGAAGGGTCACGTGAACCCCGGTGTTCAAGACCAACCTGGGCAATACAGTGAGACTCCATCTCTAAAGAAAAAAAAACAGTCAAGCTGCTGCTTTGTATATTTTGTAATATGGATGACATAATTTTCTAAGTAAAAGTTAAGAACAGAGCAAGAGGCCGGGCGCGGTGGCTCACGCCTGTAATCCCAGCACTTTGGGAGGCCGAGGCAGGTGGATCACAAGGTCAGGAGATCGAGACCATCCTGGCTAACACAGTGAAACCCCGTCTCTACTAAAAATACAAAAAAAAATTAGCCGGGCGCAGTGGCAGGCGCCTGTAGTCCCAGCTACTTGGGAGGCTGAGGCAGGAGAATGGCGTAAACCCGGGAGGCGGAGCTTGCAGTGAGCCAAGATCGCACCAATGTACTCCAGCCTGGGCGACAGAGCGAGACTCCGTCTCAAAAAAAAAAAAAGAACAGAGCAAGAACAACTGTCTCAACCATAAACTTTGAGAATTACCCTAGAAGATGTGTTGAATAAACGAATAGTTTATCTTACTTTTTAGTATAACTCCAGCCTGGTAGACCCATCTGAATGAGTTTAGTTCTAAAATGACACTGTTCACCCTGAATGTTTAAGGAATTGGCCTATCAGATGTATAACTTGGTATGATCTCTTTGGAGACTAGAGAATAAAAAAAACCAATTACAATAACTTCACCATACCTGAGATGAAGTTGCTTTTGGCACATTTGGGGTTTGATCGTTTGGATGGTGATGGACAATAATAAGCAGATATCCTGAAGAGAATCATTCTGGCCATGACAGCCTCTCTTTGACTTTCATGGTAACAGAAGGCAGACTTGTTTGATCTAGTTGTCAAATGGCCTCTAAAAAGATCAGAAAACTATCTGGGTGTGGTGGCTCATGCCTATAATCCCACCTACTTGGGAGGCTGAGGTCGGAGGGTTGCTTGAGCCCAGGAGTCAAAGACCAGGCTGGGCAACATAGCACAACCCCATCTCAAATAAACAAACACCTACATACCTACGTTTAATTAATTTATTTTAATTAATTATTCTTTTTTTTTGGATCTCAGCTCACTGTAAGCGCCGCCTCCCGGGTTTACACCATTCTGCTGCCTCAGTCTCCTGAGTAGCTGGGACTACAGGCACCCGCCACCACGCCTGGCTATTTTTTTTGTACTTTTAGTAGAGACGGGGTTTCACCGTGTTAGCCAGGATGGTCTCGATCTCCAGACCTCGTGATCTGCCCGTCTCGGCCTCCCAAAGTGCTGGGATTACAGGCTTGAGTCATCACGCCCGACCAATTATTCATTTATAATAAAAAGATCGAAAACTTGTATTCCAGGGTACCTTATATAGTTATAAATCTCTATACTTTATAATTGTCTATTTTTATGCAGTTTTGCTTTTTCTCAATTTTTACTTATTTATCTATATTAATGGTATATATTATCTAATTATACATATATAACTTTTTTTCTTTTTTTTGAGACAGTCTCACCCTGTCACGCAGGTGATAATTCAGTGGTGCAGTGATGGTTCACTGCAGCCTCAACCTCCTGGGCTCAGGTGATCCTCACACCTCAGCCTCCTTAGTAGCTGGGACGATAGTCATGCACTACTACACCCGGCTATTTTTCAGTATTTTGCAGAGACAGCCCTCACTGTGTTGTCCAGGCTGGTCTCAAACTCCTAGGCTCAAGCACTCCTCCCTCTTCTGCTTCCCAAAGTACTGGGATAACAGGCATGAGCCACCAGATTATATTTATTTCTAGTCCCTGTATTTAATTCTTAACCTACATTTTTACTTTTCTAAATATTAATTTCAATTGTCATATCTCAGTTGACAGGTAATAGAGTTAATTTTTTCTGCTTGCAACGGATCTTAGACCAATGATAATAAGATATTCAGTTACTCTTTGTGCCTTGACACTATCTAAGAAAGATACCCTAAGTGAAACCCTTCAAGCATTTGTTTCCTTCCCTCTTTTTGTTTTTTGTTTTAAAGGACTTAAAAAAGCTATTGTTTGGGGATAGAGGGAGAGGGTGGAATTATTTGTAGATTCCACATGTTAAATATATAATAAGTTCTTTAAGTTTGTTTTTATAGAGACAAGATCTCCTAATGTTGCCCAGGCTGGTCATGAACTCCTGGGCTTAAGCGATCCTGCTGCCTCGGCCTCCCAAAGTGCTGAGATTGCAGGATGTGAGCCACTGCACCTGGCCTAAGTTTATATTTAATAAACTGTATATAACGTCTCAAAGCTTCTGTATTTCCAAAATAATCTCTTTTTTTTCCCCCCTTTTTGACTACAAAGGACTGTTTTTCTACATTATGTCTCTAGTTAGAAAATGTCTGGCTAGGCTGGGCGTGGTGGCTTACGCCTGTAATCCTGGCAGTTTGGGAGGCTGAGACAGGCAGATCACAAGGTCAGCAGTTCAAGACCAGCCTGGCCAACATAGTGAAACCCCGTTTCTACTAAAAATACAAAAATTAGCCAAGTGTGGTGGCAGACGCCTGTAGTCCTAGCTACTTGGGAGGCTGAGGCAGAAGAATTGCTTGAACCTGAGAGGTGGAAGTTGCAGTGAGCTGAGACTGTGCCATTGCACTCCAGCCTGGGTGAAAGAAACAGACTCCCTCTCAAAAAGAAAAGAAAACAAAATGCCTAGATAGCTGGGCACAGTGGCTCATGCCTGTAATCCAAACACTTTGGGAGACTAAGGCAGGCAGATCACTTGAGGTCAGGCATTTGAGACCAGCCTGGCCAACATGGCAACATCCTATCTCTAAAAATACAAAAATTAGCTGGGCATGGTGGCAGGTGCCTATAATCCCAGCTACTCAGAAGGCTAATGTGGGAGGATTGCTTGAACCTGGAAGGTGGAGATGGCAGTGAACCCATATCGTGCCACTTCACTTCAGCCTGGGCAACAGAGCCAGACTCTGTCTCAAATTTAAAAAAAAAAGAAAGAAAATGCCTGGGTCCATAGCAGCTGGGAAAGACTTTCTTGTAACTGATTACTCAGCCACAACCGGAAATTGTTCTTTATAGCAGAATCCTCATAGCGATAAATGGCAGGTAACTGTGGAGCCAGCCAGACAGGTAGAATAGGATGAGGTGAGGTAGTTGGGAAGGGAAAGATTCCAAATGGAGTTACAAATGAGGAATGAAACAGGGATAAATGGAAATGCTCTTCTGAACTTTGCCTAGGAGACAATACTGTATCAGAGGCCAAGCCTTTTTTTTTTTTTTTGAGATGTAGTCTCACTCTGTTGCCAGGCTGGAGTGCAATGGCATGAACTCGGCTCACTGCAACCTCCACCTCCTGGGTTCAAGTGATTCTCTTGCCTCAGCCTCCTGAGTAGCTGGGACTACAGGCGCGTGCCATGATGCTCAGCTAATTTTTGTATTTTGAGTAGAGAAGGGGTTTCACCATGTCGGAGGGCCAAGCTTTTAAAATCGTGCATTTTCTCTTCAGCAGCATCCCATCAATAAGGGAGGGGTCAGGACTCCAGTACCTCCAAGAGGAAGACTCTCTGTGGCTTCTACTCCCATCGGCCAACGACACTCGCAAGGCCGGTCTTGTGGCCCTGCAAGTCAGAGTACCTTGGGTCTGAAGAGGTCACTCAAGCGCTCTGCTATCTCTGCAGCTAAAACAAGTGTCAGGTAAAGAAATCACTTCAAAATGTAATCATGAACAAGATTTTACATGGATCATATAAAAAAATTTTTTTAATTGGCAAATAATATTCGTACATACTCATGGGGGTACGTAGTGATGTTTCCTTTTTTTTTTTGAGACAGAGTTGCGCTCTCTTGCCCAGGCTGGAGTGCAGTGGCGCGATCTCAGCTCACTGCAACCTCCGCTTCCCGGGTTCAAGCGATTCTCCTGCCTCAGCCTCCCGAGTAGCTGGGACTACAGGTATGTGTCACCATGCCCGGCTAATTTTTTGTATTTTTAGTAGAGATGGGCTTTCATCATGTTAGCCAGGATGGTTTCAATCTCCTGACCTCATGATCCACCCACCTCAGCCTCCCAAAGTGCTGGTATTACAGGCGTGAGCCACCACGCCCGGCCCATAGTGATGTTTTAATACATATATTGTATGGTAGTCAGATCAGGGTAATTAGCATATTCATCATCTCAAACAGTTATCATTTCTTTATATTTAGTATCCTCCTTCTAGCTATTTGAAACCACCATGCCCAGCTAATTTTGCAAGGTCTCACTATGTTGTCCAGTCTGGTCTTGAACTCTTGGGCTCAAGTGACCCTCCCGCCTTGGCCAACAAAAGTGCTGGGATTACAAACATGCAATTGCACCAGCCTTTCTTTTTTTTTTTTTTTTTCTCAAATGGAGTATCACTCCATTGCCCAGGACTGCAGTGGCGAGATCTGGAATCACTGTAATCTCCTCCTCCCAGGTTCAAGCGATTCTCAGCCTCCCAAGTAGCTGGGACTACAGGCACGTACCACCACAACCGGCTAAGTTTTCATTTTTAGTAGAGACAGGGTTTCACCATGTTGGCCAGGCTGGTCTCAAACTCCTGACCTCAGGTGATCCACCTGCCTCGGCCTCCCAAAGTGCTGGAATTACAGGCACGAGCCACCGCACCTGGGCACACCCGGGTATACATACCTCTTAAATTTCTCATTCAAATCATGAATTGTTTTCCTGATTTCATTGACTTGTCTGTATTATTTTGTGTGTCTCACAGAGTTGCCCTAAGATTATTATTTTGAATTCTTTTTCTGGTATTTCATATATTTCCCTATGAATTGGGTTATTGGAGAATTACCATTTTTCTTTGGAAGTGACTTGTTTCCCTACATTTTCATGGTTTATGTGTCCTTGCATTGATTTCTACACATCTGTTAGGAAAGTGACCTCTTCCAATTTTATAGAGGAGGTTTCATAGGGAAGAACATACTCATATGAATAGGTCTTGGGGTGTCAGTTAAGTGGAGTGTGTTGGCCTTGGTTCTAAGTGGGCACAGGAATATAGTCTCTGTGTAGTTTCTTCAGCTGTAGTGCATTTGAGTGGCATTTGTAAGTCTCTCAGTAGCCTAGGCTAAGAGAGTTGGTGGTGATGGTGGCTTTGCCAGGTTTGGGACCGTGGGGCTGTTTCTCAGCCCCGGTATGCAGTTGCATGGCTGCTGGGCTGACCTTGGGGCATATCTACTAGAGGCTGCTTGCAACACTGCCTCTCAGGCCCTTACTAGGAGTACAGGGGCGTTGGGCAGGTCAGGGGCTTCTCTGCAGGGGTGAGGCATCTCACAGCTGTTTCTCAGGCCCTAGCCACAGGCACATAGCCACTCAGTCAGCACCGGAGTACTCCCAAAGTACTGGGATTATAGGTGTGAACCATCTCACCCAGCCTGCCCATGTTTTAATCAGATTTTCTTTTCCTGTTCTCCAATGTAGTTTTTAAAACTTAAAAACTTTAAAACTTAAAACTTAAGTTTAGAAGTCTATTTATTGAATTAGCTTGGAATATGAAGTACCTATAATTGGTAGTTCTGATTTCATTTAAGAACACCATGGCCCAGGAGCGGTGGCTCATGCCTGTAATCCCAGCACTTTGGGAGCCCGAGTCGGGTGGATCACCTGAGGTCAGGAGTTCAAGACCAGACATGACCAACATGGTGAAACCTCGTCTGTACTAAAAATACAAAATTATCTGGGCATGGTGGTGCGCACCTGTAATCCCAGCTGCTTCGGAGGCTGAGGCAGGAGAATCGCATGAACCCAGGAGGTGGAGGTTGCAGTGAGCCAAGATCATACCATTGCACTCCAGCCTGGGTGACAGAGTGAAACGTCGTCTCAAAAAAAAAAGAACACCATGGTCAGAGGGTTGGCCCTTCACTGCAATGTACAGGTGGGTCTGGACTTCACACCATAAGATACCATTAATTGAATGAAGGCTCATTGTTATTTTATGAACCGTTAAGAAAAATCAGACTAGGCTTGGTGGCTCACGCCTATAATCCCAGCACTTTGGGAGGCCAAGGCGGGCAGATCACAAGGTCAGGAGTTCAAGACCAGCCTGGCCAACATAGTGAAACCCCATCTGTACTAAAAATACAAAATTAGCCAGGCGTGGTGGTGCATGCCTGTAATCCCAGCTACTGGGGAGGCTGAGGCAGTAGAATCACTTGAACCTGGGAGGCAGAGGTTGCAGTGAGCCAAGATTGCACCATTGCACTCCAACCTGGGTGACAGAGTGAAACTCCATCCCGAAAAAAGAAAAAAATTAGCCAGGCACAGTGGCACATACCCATAGTCCCAGCTACTCAGAAGGCTGAGGCAGGAGGATGGCTTGAACCTAGGAGGCAGAGGTTGTAATGAGCTGAGATCACACCACTGCACTCCAGCCTGGGTGACAGAGCCAGAACCTGTCTCAAGAAAAAAACCTACCAATCAACTACTGACATCTTATGAATTGTAAAAACACATCCCAATTTCAGAGATGTTAAAATGTAGAAAAAATACTATCAGTGAATCAATCAAATACATTTGTGGCAATTTGCCATATGTAAAGAATGGTAAAGAATGGGTTTATTTCTCTACCACTCAAATGAATGACATTCTTTTAGGAAGATACAAGACCTGTTCTCACCACTCATCTAGCATAGCAGTCTTCTGCTCCCTGTGACTTCCCCTCACGAGGAGGAGGAGGAGGAGGAGGAAAGAGGAGAGAGGAAGGAGGAAGAAGAAGAAGAAGAAGAAGAAGAAGGGGAGCTTTTGGCTTGCCTCTTGGACTATAATGAGACCTCCAGGCCTATTCCTCCAGCACCATCACAGGGAGAGCAGAAAAGACAAGAACATATTTTACAAATAACGTTAGTTGATATGTGATTTACTTTAGCATTAGCCTTTTAGGAATATGTCTCTTCTGCAAAAGAGGTTCATTCCTATGACAAGTATTAATTGAGGCCCTTTTCACTGCTTGCTGATAGTCAAGTGGTTTTATTTATACGCTAGACACAAGTTACTCTTGCCACAGTACTCATGTCTTGTACTCTGCTGTCCTATTTAGATTTTCAGCTGCTACTAAAGATAATGAGCATAAGCGTTCACTGACCAAGACTCCAGCCAGAAAGTCTGCACATGTGACCGTGTCTGGGGACACCCCAAAAGGTGAGGCTGTGCTTGGGACACACAAAGACCACCAAGGGGAATTCTGCTGCTGGTAAAAAATAAATAAATAAATCTGCTTCATTTTTAAGCCATGTAACTTCCCAAAATGATCAGGTGTATCTGTTTTCTTTTTTTCTTTTTCTTTTTTTTGAGATGGGAGTTTCACTTTTGTCACGCAGGCTAGAGAGCAATGGCGCGATCTTGGCTCACTGCAGCCTCTGCCTCCCAGGTTCAAGCAATTCTCCTGCCTCAGTTTCCTAAGTAGCTGGGATTACAGACATGCACCACCACACCCAGCTAATTTTGTATATTTAATAGAGACGGTTTCGCCATGTTGGTCAGGCTGGTCTCAAACTCCTGACCTCAGGTGATCCGCCTGCCTCGGCCTCCCAAAGTGCTGGGATAACAAGAGTGAGCCACTGCACCCGTCCTGTATCTGTTTCCTTAAACTCTTTCCATTTCTATAAAATCAAAAACAAAAATTTAACATAGTATATTTTTCATTGTGTACTAGAGAGGGAAATGCCAGAGACATAAGCAAAAACCAGATATCTGCCTGAGAGCTCCATCTAATCCTAAAATGGTGACCCTCCAGGAAGGGCACTGTGCCCCTTGTGGGACTCAGGGATTCGGAGGACGAGCACAGTATTCATTACAGCCTCGGATTGGTCCTAGAGGACTCTGACACTAACAGGATCCCAGACCACAGACTTCATGTTTCAAGATTCAACCATGTTGACTCATTTTCACTGTATTTTTCAGTGGTATGGGTATATGTCAGTTTATATATTTTACTATTCATGAACATGTGGGTGGTTCCAGCTTTCATTATTATATATGATGTTGCTATGAATACTCTTAAACATGTCTCCTGTACATCTGCAAGAGTTTCCCTAGACCTAGGAGCAGAACAGCTGGATTGGAAAATATGCAGATATTTACTGTCTTGGATGAATTGTACCAATCTATGCTTCCAGCAGCAGTGTATGGCAGCCCCTTATCCTACTCCCTGTCAGCATTTCATATTGATACAGTGGGATAGCTTGAACACAGGGTTTTGTGCTTTTTTTAACTGGGTGATCTTAGATCCTGATTGCTGTTTCACAGATGTAGGCAAGGGTTCACATCTGGCAATGACCTGTGGCTTCCCCCTGTGAAAAGAAAGGATTGGCCGGACACAGTGTCTCTTGCCTGTAATCCCAGCACTTTGGGAGGACTTGAGGTCAGGATTTTGAGACCAGCCTGGCCAACATGGTGAAATCCTATCTCTACTAAAAATACAAAAATTAGCCAGGCGTGGTGGCGTGCATCTATCGTCCCAGCTACTCAAGAGGCTGAGGTAGGAGAATCGCTTGTACCAGGAAGCAGAGGTTGCAGTGAGCCGAGATTGTGCTACTGTACTCCAGCCAGCCGGGGCAATACAGTGAGACCCTGTCTCAAAAAGAAGGAAAAAAAAGAGAGAGAAAGGATTAACTGATGGCCAACTGTAGCAAAAAGGCTAACTAAACTACACCATCCTTAGGCTGGGCATGGTGGCATGGAGATCAACCTGGCCAACATGGCAAAACCTCGTCTCTACTAAAATTACGAAAATTAGCCGGGCGTGGTGGCACTTGCCTGTAATCTCAGCTACTCGCTTGAGAATCACTTGAACCCAGGAGGCGGAGGTTGCACTGAGCCGAGATCACATCACTGCACTCCAGCCTGAGACACAGAGCAAGACTCCATCTCAAAAAAATAAAAATAAACTATACCATCCCGGATATTTTTAGCTTCACAGTACAAAAATTCATATTCTTTTTTTTCTGAGACGGAGTCTCACTCTATCATCCACACTGGAGTGCAGTGGCACCATCTCGGCTCACTGCAACCTCCGCCTCTTGGGTTCAAGTGATTCTTCTGCCTCAGTCCCCCGAGTAGCTGGGACTACAGGTGCCTGCCACCACGCCTGGCTAATTTTTGCATTTTTGGTAAAGATAGAGTGTCACCGCATTGGCCAGGTTGGTCTCGAACTCCTGACCTCATGATCTGCCCGCCTCCGCCTCCCAAAGTGCTAGGATTACAGGCGTGAGCCACCACGCCCAGCCAAAAATTAAAATTCTGAAGTGATAAGAGCCCTTATTAATAATATTCCTGACTTTAAACAATCCTGCCTCAGCCTTCCAAAGTGCTGAGATTACAGGTGTGAGCCAACAGGCCATGAATCTTCTCAACTATGTGATTAGGTTCTTTTTATGTTTATTTATGTTAATGATAATACTATTAATAATATGTAATTTTTATGGGACTTATCAGAGAAATACGCTGAAAAGTTACCGTTCTTTCTTTCAACAGAATTCTAAACTCCCATCTGATCTTAGGAAATGTCATGATATTCAGAACATTTACAAAGCTACTTAGCAAAGGAAACTAATCTCAATGCTTAGCTTTCCTCAATTATTGTTTTCTTCTCTTTTCTCCATTTTAACCCTTATTTCAGACTCTCATCTATTTCAGACAATCTATTCTTGTAGATTGTCTTAGTCCTTTGGGGCTGCTATTATATAACAAAGCACCGAAGACTGTGTCTTATAAACAGCAGGAATTTCTCTCTCATAGTTCTGGAGGCTGGATGAGGGCAGATCAGGGCACTAGCATGATTCTAGTAAGGGCTCTTTTCCAGGTAGCAGACTACCAACTTCTCGTTGTATGCTCATGTGGCAGAAAGAGAGCTAGAGAAAATTCTATGGGGTATCTGAATCCCATTCATGACCTATTTACCTCCCAAAGCCCTACTTCCTTACACCAGTCGTATTGACGGTCAGGATTTCAATATGAATTTGGGGTTGCAGGAGATACAAACATTCAAGCTATAACTTTTTTTTTTTTTTTTTGAGACAGAGTCTTACTCTGTTGCCAGGCTGGAGTGCTGTGGTGTGATCTCAGCTTGCTGCAACCTCCAACTTCCTGGTTCAAGGGATTCTCCTGCCTCAACCTCCTGAGTAGCTAGGATTACAGGCACGTGCCACCACACCTGGCTAATTTTTGTATTTTAGTAGAGACAGAGTTTCACTATGTTGGCCAGGATGGTCTCGATCTCCTGACCTCATGATCTGCCTGCCTCAGCCTCCCAAAGTGCTGGGATTACAGGCATGAGCCACTGCACCCGGCCTTTTTTTTTTTTTTTTTTTTTTTTTTTTTTGAGATGGAGTCTTGCCCTGTCGCCCAGACTGGAGTGCAATGGCGCAGTCTCAGCTCACTGCAAGCTCCACCTCCCGGGTTCGAGTGATTCTCCTACTCAGCCTCCCAAGTAGCTGGGATTACAGGCATGTGCCACCACACTTGACTAATTTTTATTTTTATTTTTTCTCTGAGATGCAGCCTTGCTGTCGCCAGGCTGGAGTGCAGTGGCACGATGTCGGCTCACTGCAACCTCTGCCTCCCGGGTTCAAGCGATTCCCCTGCCTCAGCCGAGTAGCTGGGACTACAGGCATGCACCACCATACCCAGCTAAGTTTTTTTTTTTTTTTTTTGAAACTGAGTTTCACTCTTGTTGCCCAAGCTGGAGTGCAATGGTGCAATGTTGGCTCACTTCAACCTCCACTTTGTGGGTTCAAGCAATTCTCCTGCCTCAGCCTCCCAAGTAGCTAGGATTACAGGCATGCGCCACCACACCAGGTAATTTTGTACTTTTAGTAGAGACGGGGTTTCTGCATGTTGGTCAGGCTGGTCTTGAACTCCCGACCTCAGGTGATCCACCTGACTCGGCCTCCCAAAGTGCTGAGATTACAGGCGTGAGCCACCGCACTCCCAGATAATTTTTTGTATTTTAGTAGAGACAGTGTTTCACCATGTTGGTCAGGATGGTCTCGATCTCCTGACCTTGTGATCTGCCCACCTCAGCCTCCCAAAGTGCTGGGATTACAGGCATGAGCCCCATGCCCAGCCTATAACATGTATTTTTAAGATTGAGAAGTAACACTTTTGGCCGGGCGCGGTGGCTCAAGCCTGTAATCCCAGCACTTTGGGAGGCCGAGACGGGCGGATCACGAGGTCAGGAGATTGAGACCATCCTGGTGAACACGGTGAAACCCCGTCTCTACTAAAAAATACAAAAAACTAGCCGGGCGAGGCGGCGGGCGCCTGTAGTCCCAGCTACTCGGGAGGCTGAGGCAGGAGAATGGCGTAAACCCGGGGGGCGGAGCTTGCAGTGAGCTGAGATCCGGCCACTGCACTCCAGCTCGGGCGACAGAGCCAGACTCCGTCTCAAAAAAAAAAAAAAAAAAGAGAAGTAACACTTTGATAAATGCTTTAACAGGTCTTTGTTTCTAATTAAGCTCTTGGGTTTCTTTGGTGTGTTTTTAGTTATTACCCCATTCAAGCTGACAACTGAGGCAACGCAGACTCCAGTCTCCAATAAGAAACCAGTGTTTGATCTTAAAGCAAGTTTGTCTCGTCCCCTCAACTATGAACCACACAAAGGTACGTGGGAGTGTTTTAAGCTACAGGGCCTATAAAATACTTAAGATTGGTGGGATGCGGTGGCTCATGCCTACTAAAAATACAAAAATTAGCCAGGCGTGGTGGCGGGCACCTGTAATCCCAGCTGCTTGGGAGGCTGAGACAGGAGAATTGCTTGAACCTGTTAGGCGGAAGTTGCAGTGAGCCGAGACCGCGCCATTGCACTCCAGCCTGGGTAACAAGAGCGAAACTCCATCTAAAAATAAAAATAAAAAATGACAACTTAAGAATGAACAAATTCTGCAGCTGGGTGCAGTGGCTCTCGCCTGTAATCCCAGCATTTCAGGAGGCTGAGGTGGGCAGATCACTTTAGTTCAGGAGTTTGCGATCAACCTGGCCAACATGGTGAAACCCCATCTCTACTGAAAAAAAATAAGAAAATTAGCCTGGCATGGTGGTGGCACCTATAATCCCAGCTACTTGGGAGGCTGAGGCAGAAGAATTGCTTGAACCTAGGAGGCAGAGGTTGCAGTGAGCCGAGATTGCACCACTGCACTCCAGCCTGGGCGACACAGTGAGACCATGCCTCAAGAAAACAAAAACAGGCCGGGCGTGGTGGCTCACACCTGTAATCCCAGCACCTTGGGAGGCCAAGGTGGGTGGATCATGAGGTCAGGAGATCGAGACCATCTTGTCTAACATGGTGAAACACCATCTCTACTAAAAATACAAAAACAAAATTAGCCGGGCATGGTGGTGGGCGCCTGTAGTCCCAGCTACTCGGGAGGCTGAGGAGGGAGAATGGCGTGAACCCGGGAGGTGGAGCTTGCAGTGAGCCAAGATCACACCACTGCACTCCAGCCTGGGGTACAGAGCAAGACTCCACCTCAAAAAAAAAAAAAAGAAAGAAAGAAAAGAAAAACAACTCTGCCTCTAAAGTTGTTAAAAAAAAAAAAAAAAAAAAAAAAAAACCCTAGTGACCCAGTGGAAGCCATATGTGACTACCTAGAATTCCTTTCCCCTGCCTCTGCTTCCACATAGACCCGTGATTTAAAAGACTTGTCATTAAACAATTAATAATTACTTGATTCAGCAGGGTGCAGTGGCTCATGGCTGTAATCCCAGTACTTTGGGAGGCACAGGCAAGAGGATGACTTGAGCCTGGGAGTTCAAGAGCAGCCTGGACAACTTAGCAAGACCCTATCTCTACCAAAAAATTTAAAAATTAGCTGGACATGGTGACACGTGCCTGTGATCCTAGCTATTCAGGAAGCTGGGATGTGAGGATTGCTTGAGCCAGGGAGGTTTGGGCGCAGTAAGCCATGACTGTACCACTGCATTCCAGCCGGGGCAACAGAGTGAAACCCTATCTCAATAAAAAAAAAAAGCAGGACATAGAGCCAGGTGTAGTAGTATGTATGCCTGTACTCCCAGCTATATGGAAGGCTGAACTGGGAAGATCACTTGCAGCCAGGAGTTCAAGGCTGCAGTGTATGCTATGACTGTGCCTATAGAGAGCCACTGAAGCCCGTCTCGACTACTAAAAATACAATAATTAGCTGGGCATGGTGGTGCGTGCCTGTAGTCCCAGCTACTCGGGAGGCTGAGGCAGGAGAATTGCACGAACCCCAGAGGCAGAGGTTGCAGTGAGCCGAGATCGTGCCAGTACACTCCAGCCTGGGCAACAGAGCTCCGTCTAAAAAATTAAAAAAAAAAAAAGGCTGGGCGCGGTGGCTCACGCCTGTAATCCCAGCACTTTGAGAGGCCAAGGCGGGCGGATCACAAGGTCAGGAGATCGAGACCATCTTGGCTAACACGGTGAAACCCCGTCTCTGCTAAAAAAAAAATACAAAAAATTAGCCGGGCGCGGTGGTGGGCGCCTGTAGTCCCAGCTACTTGGGTGACTGAGACAGGAGAATGGCATGAACCCAGGAGGTGGAGCTTGCAGTGAGCCGAGATCGCGCCACTGTACCTTAGCCTGGGCGATGAGCAAGACTCCATCTCAAAAAAAAAAAAAAAAAATTAAAAAAAAAAAAAACTAAATTTAAATTTAAAAAACAGGCCGGGCGCGGTGGCTTAAGCCTGTAATCCCAGCACTTTGGGAGGCCGAGACTGGAGGATCACGAGGTCAGGAGATCGAGACCATCCTGGCTAACACGGTGAAACCCCGCCTCTACTAAAAAGAATACAAAAAACTAGCCGGGCGAGGTGGCGGGCGCCTGTAGTCCCAGCTACTCGGGAGGCTGAGGCAGGAGAATGGCGTGAACCCAGGAGGTGGAGCTTGCAGTGAGCCCGGATCGCGCTACTGCACTCCAGCCTGGGCGACAGAGCCAGACTCCGTCTCAAAAAAAAAAAAAATTTAAAAAACAAAACAGGCCGGGCGCGGTGGCTCAAGCCTGTAATCCCAGCACTTTGGGAGGCCGAGACGGGCGGATCACGAGGTCAGGAGATCGAGACCATCCTGGCTAACACGGTGAAACCCCGTCTCTACTAAAAAGACAAAAAACTAGCCGGGTAAGGTGGCGGGCGCCTGTAGTCCCAGCTACTTGGGAGGCTGAGGCAGGAGAATGGCGTAAACCCCGGAGGCGGAGCTTGCAGTGAGCTGAGATCTGGCCACTGCACCCCAGCCCAGGCGACAGAGCAAGACTCCATCTCAAAAAAAAAAAAAAACACAAAACCAAAAAAAAGCAACACGTAAACTTCCAGAAATTGGGTCCCAGTTCTTTTTTGTAAAATTGCAAATTGGTTGGACACAGTGGCTCACGCCTGTAATCCCAGCACTTTAGGAGGCCAAGGCAGGCAGATTGCTTGAGAACAGGAGCTCGAGACCAGCATGGGCAACATGACGAAACCTCATCTCTACTAAAAAATACAAAAATTACCTGGGCATGGTGGCGTGTGCCTGTAGTCCCAGCTACTCATGAGTCTGAGTTGGGAGGATCACTTGAGCCCAGGAGGCGGAGGTTGCTGTGAGCTAAGATCAGATCACACCATTGCACTCCAACCTGAGCAACAGAGTGAGATTCTGTCTCAAAGAAAAAAGTATAATTGTCAATAGCAGGTAACCACAGATGAAGGGAATGAAGTTGGGAATATAAATCAAACAATCTTCTTAAAACTCTTTGTCTCTGTCCTAAACTAGGAAAGCTAAAACCATGGGGGCAATCTAAAGAAAATAATTATCTAAATCAACATGTCAACAGAATTAACTTCTACAAGAAAACTTACAAACAACCCCATCTCCAGACAAAGTAAGTACATAATTATCCAGCTTTATAATTATTTTAATTTCAAAAGCAGCACCTTGGCCGGGCGCGGTGGCTCAAGCCTGTAATCCCAGCACTTTGGGAGGCCGAGACGGGCGGATCACAAGGTCAGGAGATCGAGACCGTCCTGGCTAACATGGTGAAACCCCATCTGTACTAAAAAAAATACAAAAAATTAGCTGGGCGTGGTGGCGGGCGCCTGTAGTCCCAGCTACTCGGGAGGCTGAGGCAGGAGAATGGCGTGAACCCGGGAGGCGGAGCTTGCAGTGAGCCGAGATCCGGCCATTGCACTCCAGCCTAGGGGACAGAACGAGACTCCGCCTCAAAAAAAAAAACAAAACAAAAGCAGCACCTCTGAGGGATAGAGACTCAGTAATAGTGGTGTTTTAAGGGGAGGTTAGAAGTGGAATCATGGGCCAGGCGTGGTGGCTCACACCTGTAATCCCAGCACTTTGGGAGGCTGAGGCAGGCGGATCATGAGATCAGGAGATCGAGACCATCCTGGCTAACATGGTGAAACCCTGTCTCTACTAAAAATACAAAAATGAAAAAAAAAATTAGCCAGGCGTGGTGGCGGGCACCTGTGGTCCCAGCTATTCGGGAGGCTGAGGCAGGAACCCGGGAGGCAGAGCTTGCAGTGAGCCGAGATCGTGCCACTGCACTCCAGCCTGGGCAACAGAGTGAGACTCCATCTCAAAAAAAAAAAGAAAAGAAAAGAAGTAGCATCATATATAGAACTTTCTGAGTACATATTCCAGTGTAATGGACTCCAAATCAGCAGGTTTGGGGTGAGGCCCAAGCACCTGCATTGTTTCCAAAGCTCTGCAGGTGATTCAGAAGAAGACCCAGATTCAGAGCACTGCTCTTGCATGACTCGTCTGCCTCAACACAGGGCATGTGGGTATCTCTCCTGATACCAATGCCCAGCAGTCCAGGGCACCTACGTATCCAGATAGACATCAATTCCTCACTCCTAAGGAAGCCAGGCTTACAAGGCATCAAGGCCCTATAAAGAGGAGCACCCAGGACGGTCCTTAGAGGCTTCCTTCAGCATGAAAACCAAGTTAAAGCCAGAGCTCATCCTGGGTTGTAGCAAATCATGGTTGGGCCCAGATTCCCTGCTTGGACCCTCATGACACAGGGTTACCTATCATTTGACTCATGGCTATACATGACTGCGCCAAGGCCTTTGCTCACTGTTATTAAGTTGGCTGAGTGAGGTGGCTCACGCCTGTAATCCCAGTACTTTGGGAGGCCAAGGCAGGTGGATTACGATGTCAGGAGTTCCAGACATGGAGAAACCCCATCTCTACTAAAAATACAAACTTAGCCAGGCGTGGTGGCGCATGCCTGTAATCCCAGCTACTCTGGAGGCTGAGGCAGGAGAATCGCTTGAACCCGGGATGCGGAGGTTGTGGTGAGCCGAGATTGCGCCATTGCACTACAGCCCAAGCAACAAGAGCAAAACTCCGTCTCAAAAAAAAAGAAGTCAAAGGTCAAGCTCAGAATCACATAGTTTAGTGAAAGGAATAGAACTAGAATCAGGGTCTACTGAGTTAGCCATTATGCTTTTCTTTCAGAGGATTAGACAAACCAAAAAAAAGAGAAAGAAGGGGAAAAAAAAAACACAAAAAAGCCCAAGATTATATTAACTTATCTTGGGTTTTTTTGTTTGTTTGTTTGTTTTGAGACAGAGTCTCACTCTGTTGCCTAGGCTAGAGTGTGGTGGTGCAATCTTGGCTCACTGCACCCTCTCCATCCCGGGTTCAAGTGATTTTCCTGCCTCAGCCTCCCGAGTAGCTGGGATTACAGGTGCCCACCCCTGCGTGCAGCTAATTTTTGTATTTTTAGTAGAGACGGGGTTTCACCATCTTGGCTAGGCTGGTCTCAAACTCCTGACCTCAGGTGATCCACCCACCTTGGCCTCCCAAAGTGCTGGGATTACAGGTGTGAGCCACCACGCCTTTGATTTCTAGGTGTAGACATTTCTCATTTAAAACAATTTTTTTTTTCTTAGAGATAGGTTCTTACTTTTCTTACTTTTGCCTTGAACTCCTGGGCACAGGGAATCCTCCCACTTTGGCCTCCCAAAATGCTGGGATTATAGGTGTGAGCCACTGCATCTGGCCTAAAGCAAATTGTAAAATAATAAGAGTTGGATTCAATCACCAAGGTATCTTCTGATTCCAATTCCATGTATGATTTTATTTTTTATTTTTTATTTATTTATTTATTTTTTTTTTTTTTGAGACGGAGTCTCGCCCTGTCGCCCATGCTGGAGGGCAGTGGCATGATCTCAGCTCACTGCAACCTCCACCTCCTGGGTTCAAGCGATTCTCCTGCCTCAGCCTCCCAGTAGCTGGGATTATAGACATGCACAACCACACTTGGCTAACTCTTTCGTATTTTTTTTTTTTTTTTTTTTTTTTGAGACGGAGTCTTGCTCTGTCACCCAGGCTGGAGTGCAGTGGCCGGATCTCAGCTCACTGCAAGCTCCGCCTCCCGGGTTTACACCATTCTCCTGCCTCAGCCTCCCGAGTAGCTGGGACTACAGGCGCCCGCCACCTCGCCCGGCTATTTTTTTGTATTTTTTAGTAGAGACGGGGTTTCACCGTGTTAGCCGGGATCGTCTCTCGATCTCCTGACCTCGTGATCCGCCCATCTCGGCCTCCCAAAGTGCTGGGATTACAGGCTTGAGCCACCGCGCCCGGCCCTCTTTCGTATTTTTAGTAGAGACGGGGTTTCACCATTTTGGCCAGGCTGGTCTCGAACTCCTGACCTCAAGTGATCTGCCTGCCTTGGCCTCCTAACGTGCTGGGATTACAGGCATGAGCCAATGTGCCCATGCATGATTTTAGAGTGCTGAGTTAGCAAAAGGAAAATACCAGTTTCTAGCCCTTTAACACAACAATGACAAACAGGTGTTAGAAACACTAGGCGGAGCACAGTGCCTTCTAAGAGCCTGTTTCACGCAAGTATGCTGGATGTCATTGCTTGAAAGTTTGGGTGTTAGTCCAACAATAGTTGCTCTAAAGTGTCTGTTGTGGAGCCTCCCTAGAGCTTAACCTGTGACCTGTCCCCCTCAGGGAAGAGCAACGGAAGAAACGCGAGCAAGAACGAAAGGAGAAGAAAGCAAAGGTTTTGGGAATGCGAAGGGGCCTCATTTTGGCTGAAGATTAATAATTTTTTAACATCTTGTAAATATTCCTGTATTCTGAACTTTTTTCCTTTTGTAAATTTTTTTTTTTTATGTCTTCCCTACTTTAGTCACGAGATCTTTTTCTGCTAACTGTTCATATTCTATGTAGTGTCCATGTATGTAGTGTCCGTGGGTTCTTCATGTGCTACGATCTCTGAAAAGACATTATCACCTTAAAGCTCACATTCTTTGGGATGGTTTTTACTTAAGTCCCTATACAATTCAGGTTTCTAATGAGATACATCCTAAAATTCTGTTCCTAGATTTTTTTTTTTTTTTTTGAGGCGGAGTCTCGCTCTGTCGCCCAGGCTGGAGTGCAGTGGCCGGGTCTCAGCTCACTGCAAGCTCCGCCTCCCAGGTTCACGCCATTCTCCTGCCTCAGCCTCCCAAGTAGCTGGGACTACAGGCGCCGCCACCACGCCCGGCTAATTTTTTGTATTTTTAGTAGAGACGGGGTTTCACTGTGTTAGCCAGGATGGTCTCGATCTCCTGACCTTGTGATCTGCCCGTCTCGGCCTCCCAAAGTGCTGGGATTACAGGCTTGAGCCACCGCGCCCGGCCTGTGTTCCTAGATTTTTAATGTCAAGTTCCCCCTGCTGGTTCTAATATTAACAGAACCACAGTCTTCTGCTAGCCAATAGCATTTATCTAATGTCAGCTAGTTATACAAGCTTCAGGAGAATTTAAACAATAACAAGAATAGGGTAAGCTGGGATAGAAAGGCCACCTCTTCAGTCTCTGTAGAATATAGTAACCTTTATGAAACGGGGCCATGATTTGGTTATGACATCAATATTTTACCTAGGTGAAATTGTTTAGGCTTGTGCATCTTTGTTCAAATAGCCTCATGTAATTGCCATCTGTCACTCACTATATTTGCATAAATAAAACTCTACAACTCATTCTAACATTGCTTACTTGAAAGCTACATAGTCCTATCGAAATGTGAGGATTAATGCTTTAATGCTTTTAGAGACAGGGTCTCACTATGTTGCCCAGGCTGGTCTCAAACTCCACCAAATATACTTATTCATTTTATGGAAAAGATGAGGCTTTGCTTAGTATCATGTCCATGTTTCCTTCACCTCAGTGGAGCTTCTGAGTTTTATACTGCTCAAGATTGTCATTAATAAAATTTTTTCTCTTTGTGGTAGATTCATTCTTTGTAAACATAAGTCTTCCAAGATTTAGGTGAGCAGCTAGGCTTAACAAGAGTTTATACCCTTTGTATGCCCTTTCCTGACCACTGCTTCCACTCAAAAAAGAAATGGCGGTATGCTCCCTTTATATTCCCAGAGTACCTCTCAGGTTTTTTTTGTTTTGTTTTGTTTTGTTTTTTTGAGACGGAGTCTCGCTGTGTCTCCCAGGCTGGAGTGCAGTGGCCTGATCTCGGCTCACTGCAAGCTCCGCCTCCCGGGTTCACGCCATTCTCCCGCCTCAGCCTCCCAAGTAGCTGAGACTACAGGCGCCCGCCACCACGCCCGGCTAGTTTTTTGTATTTTTAGTAGAGACAGGGTTTCACCATGTTAGCCAGGATAGTCTCGATCTCCTGACCTCGTGATCCACCCGCCTCGGCCTCCCAAAGTGCTGGGATTACAGGCTTGAGCCACCGCGCCCGGCCTCTCAGGTTTTATTAAATGCTGTTTTGTATACGTGAGGCTTTAGGACATGGCACACTCCTAAGTACTGGAAACATTCAGATTTTCCTATCAAGGGGAAGAGATCAGATCAATTTTTAAACTTTAGGGTCAAATACACATCTGATGGAAATGTAAAATGTCACAACCACTTTGGAAAACAGTTTGCTAGTGTCTTTGAAAAGTTAACAGGATGTCTACTGTGTAATCTAGCCATGCCATTAGGTAGTGAGACCCTATCGGAAAAAAGAAAAAACCACCAGGATCTTACATAGAGAAAATCCTAAGGACTTCACTAAAAAGCTCCTAGAACTAATAAATTCAGTAAGGTTGCAACGTACAAGATCAATACCCAACAATTCTGGCCAGACACAGTGGCTCACACCTGTAATCCCAGCACTTTGGGAGGCCAAGGCAGGCAGATCACTTGAAGTCAGGAGTTGGAGACCAGCCTGGCCAACATGGTGAAACCACATCTCTGCTAAAAATACAAAAATTAGCCAGCCGTGGAGGTGGGCGCCTGTAATCCCATCTACTCAGGAGACTGAGGCAGGAGAATCACTTCAACCCGGGAGGTGAAGGTTGCAGTGAGCCAAGATCACACCACTGCACTCTGGCCACTGCAACGGGGTGAGACTCCATCTTGAAATAAAAAAAAAAAACATCAAGACCCAACAATTGGCCGGGCGCGGTGGCTCAAGCCTGTAATCCCAGCACTTTGGGAGGCCGAGACGGGCGGATCACGAGGTCAGGAGATCGAGACCATCCTGGCTAACACGGTGAAACCCCGCCTCTACTAAAAAATACAAAAAACTAGCCGGGCAAGATGGCGGGCGCCTGTAGTCCCAGCTACTCGGGAGGCTGAGAAAGGAGAATGGCGTAAACCCGGGAGGCGGAGCTTGCAGTGAGCTGAGATCCGGCCACTGCACTCCAGCCTGGGCGACAGAGCGAGACTCCGTCTCAAAAAAAAAAAAAAAAAAGACCCAACAATTATATTTTTGTCTTTAATCTCCGTCACCCAGCCTGGAGTGCAGTGGTGTGATCTTGGCTCACTGCAACCTCCACCTCTCTCCAAGTTCAAGCGATACTATCTCTTGACCTCGTAATGCAACAGCCTCAGCCTCCCAAAGTGCTGGGGATTACAGCTGTGAGCCACCACACCCAGCCTAATTTTTTTTTTTTTTAAGAGACACACTGTTGGTCTGTCACCCAGGCTGGAACACAGTGGTAAGATCATAGCTCACTATAACCTTGACCTCATGGGCTCAAGGATCCTCCTACCGCAGCCTCCCAAGTAGCTGAGTCTACAGATGTGTGCTACCACACCTGGCTAATTTTTTTTATTTTTTTATATATTTTTTTAGAGACAGGGTCTCACTATGTTGCCCAGGCTGGTCTCAAACTCCTGGGCAAGTGATCCTCCCACGTCAGTCTCCCAAAGTGCTGGGATTATAAGTGTGAACCACTGACCCTGCCCCCTGTTTCCATATACTAGCAATGACTAGTACAAAAAAAAAATGAGGGCCAGGCGCGGTGGCTCAAGCCTGTAATCCCAGCACTTTGGGAGGCTGAGACGGGCGGATCACGAGGTCAGGAGGTCGAGACCATCCTGGCTAACACGGTGAAACCCCGCCTCTACTAAAAAATACAAAAAACTAGCCGGGTAAGGTGGCGGGCGCCTGTAGTCCCAGCTACTCGGGAGGCTGAGGCAGGAGAATGGCGTAAACCCGGGAGGCGGAGCTTGCAGTGAGCTGAGATTCGGCCACTGCACTCCAGCCTGGGCGACAGAGCGAGACTCCGTCTCAAAAAAAAAAAAAAAAAATGAGACAACTGAATACTCAGATGCAAAAAATGAATTTGGACCTTTATACCTTTCACAAAAGTTAACTTAAAATTGATCATAGGGCTGAGCACAGTAGCGTACACTCCTGTAGTCTCAGGTACTTGAGAGACTGACGTGGGAGGATCACTTTAGCCCAGGAGATCAAAGGCTGTGGTGCATTATAAGCACTCCTGTGACGAGCCCTTGCACTTCAACCTGAGCAACATAGCAAGATCCTATTTCTTAAAAAAAAATAATAGGCCAGGCACGGTGGCTCATGCCTGTTATCCCAGCACTTTGGGAGGCCAACGCGGGCGGATCACGAGGTCAGGAGATCGAGACCATCCTGGCTAACATGGTGAAACCCCATCTCTACTAAAAATGCAAAAACAAAATTAGCCGGGCGTGGTGGCGGGTGCCTGTAGTCCCAGCTACTCGGGAGGCTGAGGTAGGAGAATGGTGTGAACCCGGGACGCAGAGCTCGCAGTGAGCCGAGATCATGCCACAGCACTCAAGCCTGGATGACAGAGTGAGACTCCGTCTCAAAAAAAAAAAAAAATAATAATAAAAGAGGGACTGGGTGCAGTGGCTCACACCTGTAATCCCAGCACTTTGGGTGGCTGAGGTGGGTGGATCACGAGATCAGGAGTTCAAGACTAGCCTGGCCAAAATGGTGAAACCCTGTCTCTACTAAAAATATAAAAATTAGCTGGGCGTGGTGGCGGGCACCTGTAATCTCAGCTACTCAGGAGGCTGAGGCAGAGAATCGCTTGAACCTGGGAGGTGTGGGGGTTGTAGGGAGCCGAGATCATGCCACTACACTCCAGCCTGGTGACAGAGCAAGACTCCATCACACACACACACAAAAAATTAGCCAGGTATGGTGGCGCATGACTGTAATCCCAGCTACTCAGGAGGCTGAGGCAGGAGAATTGCTTGAACTGGGAGGCAGAGGTTGCAGTAAGCCGAGATCACACCACCGCACTCCAGCTTGGGCCACAGAGCAAGACTCCATCTCAAAAAAAAAAAAAAAAAAAAAAAAAAAGTAGACCTAAGTGTTAGAACTAAAATTACAAAAGTCTTAGAAGAAACCACAGGAGTAAGTCTCTGTGATTTACTGAATTATTGCCTTGGGCAGATCAGCTGAGGTCAGGGGTTCGGGACTAGCCTGGCCAACATGGCGAAACCCCATTTTTACTAAAAACACAAAAAAATTAGCCAGACATGGTGGTGTGTGCCTGTAATACCAGCTACTGGGGAGGCTGAGGCAAGAGAATCGCTTGAACCTGGGAGGCAGAGGTTGCAGTGAGCCGAGATTGCACCACTGCACTCCAGCCTAGGCAACAGAGCGGAACTCCATCTCAAAAAAGCAACACAAAATGAAAATAGAAAAATCTAAATGCAACAGAGTGGTAGAAGGCCATTAACGGTCATCTCAGAGATTCCTGCTTTGGAAACTACTCATGTAGGAAATGTTCCTAACAGCAACTGTTCTGAGCAAAAACACTAAATTATTTACATAGTACATTTACATCAGTACTTGCATTCTATGAGATAAAGTACACCAGAGAACCTGGTTTCATGCTGTGTTCCCCTTATCCAGTCCCTCTTAGCAACAGACTTTTTTTGTTTTTGAGACAGAGTCTCACTCTGTGGCACAAGCTGGAGTGCAGTGGCGTGATCTCGGCTCACTGCAACCTCTGCCTCCCAGTTCAAGCAATTCTCCTGTCTCAGTCTCCCAAGTAGCTGGGATGACAGGCTTGCGCCACCATGCCCGGCTAACTTTTGTATTTTTAGTAGAGATGGGGTTTCACCATGCTGATCAGGCTAGTCTCTAACTCCAGACCTTAAGTGATCCTCCTGCCTCAGCCTCCCAAAGTGCTGGGATTACAGGCATGAGCCACCGTGCCCGGCCAGCAACAGCATTTCAACTTGTCTTAGAGAATACATACTAGCCAGCTGGGCACAGTGGCTCACGCCTGTAATCTCAGCACTTTGGAAGGCTGAAGCGGGCGGATCACCTGAGGTCAGGAGTTCGAGACCAGCCTGACCAACACGGAGAAACCCTGTCTCTACTAAAAATACAAAATTAGCTGGGCGTGGTGGCGCATGCCTGTAATCCCAGCTACTCGGGAGGCTGATCAAAGGCTGCGGTGAGCCAAGATCGCACTACTGCACACCAGCATGCCAACCTGGGCAACAGAGTGGGATTCCATCTCAAAAGAGAAAAAAAAAAGAGAGAGAGAATACATACTAGCCATTGGTTGGATGCCATTAAAGAAATATTTTATTTTGTCTACATCATTATAGATGCTAGTAGCCTTAGAGTAGTAAAACAAAACTACCACATAATCTTTATTTAAAAAGCCTTGGGTTAAGCTCTGGAGAATTTTCATAGGCAAATTCTTCTGTATGGGCTGGATCAGTAAACACTCCAATAAAATCTATCTCCAGAAAGAATGGACCATCCACTTTATCAGCCAAGGTGAATCCTATAGAAGAGATCTAAATTTAAAACAGAGAAATTGATTAAAATCTCATACAGTGATGTACTGATATTATTCCAGGAGTTTAAAATCCCATCAAGTGATGATTATAACTGGGTTTTAATGCTATCAGCCCTTAGGAAATACATACTAGTTCTCACATAGCATACCGTAAGAGGAAATACAAGACTGTTTTTCTTTCCCCATTCAACTTCCTTCCCTCTCCTCATTAGGTAGCGCCACTTAAGACTAGGAAGGACGGCCAGGTGCGGTGGCTCAGGCCTGTAACCCCAACACTGGGAGGCCAAGGTGTGCAGATCATGAGGTCAAGAATTCGAGACCAGCCTGGCCAACATGGTGAAACCTCGTCTCTACTAAGAATACAAAAATTAGCCAAGTGAGGTGGCAAGCACCTGTTAATTCCAGCTACTCGGGAGACTGAGGCAGGAGAATTGCTTGAACCAAGGAGGTGGAATTTGCAGTGAGCCGAGATCATGCCACTACACTCCAGCCTAGGTGACAAAGCAAGACTCTTATCTCAAAAAAAAAAAAAAAAAAAGACTAGTAAGGACAACATGAATGCCTAATGGAGGTTCCTTGAAGTGTTCATAAACTCTTATTTTAAAGCTAAATTAGGAGGGAGGGGACAGGGGAAAAATAGCTAAAGTAAAATGTACGCATGCTAAAAATGATCATTCTAAAATTCCTTCAGGATGGGGTATAGTTCATAGGGGAGGTCTGAGTCAGCCTCTGGCTAGGTTTAAGAGCAGTGGCCCTGAGAAGAAATTTTCATCTGCCAGCTTTCTCAAATGAACTCAGTCTCACCAGAGTTTCGATTCATTAAAAATGATACAGTTCTGAGTGAAAAATACAGGAATATATTACCTTGTCAAGCAGAAGCTCATGCTGAACATCCCGGATTCTTCCTCGATTAGAGAAGAAAAATTTGGAAAAAGGAATCTGAAAGAAGAAACCATTTACTTCATAACTGAAATGTAAGCAATTGAGGCATCTACATGTAATGATAAAACAAGAATTTACATTTATTCTAAAATTATTTAATATATGTATTATGACAAATGGCTAGCCATTTGGATCAAAGATGTAACTCAGGCCAAACAATAAAGGGTTAACTATGAAAAAAATATTTGTAACATTTGTGGAAAAAAGACTAGTACCTAAACACAGCTTTTCTTTTTTCCTGTGGAGAATGGGGTCTCACTTTGTTGCCTGAACCCGGGAGGCAGAAGTTGCAGTAAGCCAAGATCGTGCCATTGCACTCCAGCCTGGGCAACAGAGCTAGACTCTGTCTCAGGAAAAAAAAAAAAAAAAAGCAAAAAGAATTGTAATATGTTTCCCTTTCTTCCTACATTAGAAACGGAAGAAAAAGAAATGTCCTATTCCTTCTACTCTTGAACTTTTCAAGTGTGCCCTTTTTATTCATCAACTTTATTTTCATATTTCTTCTTTATGTAATTTACTTATTATTAAGCACGATCTTTTAAAACTATATCTGGCTTTGTTTGTTTTTTGTTTTGTTTTGTTTTTGTTTTGAGATAGGGTCTCACTCTGTTACCCAGGCTGGAGTGCAGTGGTGCAATCTTGGCTCACTGCAACTTTTGCCTCCCAGGTTCAAGTGATTCTCCCACCTCAGCCTCCTGAGTAGCTGGGACTATAGGCGCACACCACCACACCCGGCTAATTTCTTTTTTTTTTTTTTGATAGAGACGGTGTTTCACCATGTTGACCAGGCTGGTCTTAAACTCCTGAGCTCAAGTAATCTGCCAACCTTGGCCTACAAGCATGAACCACCACACTCTGCCTAAATAATTATACAGAAGCTCTCCAGGATATATTCCTAAATTTTAAAAACACAAACCATAGGTACAGATTATGCTAATTTTATTTTTTGAGTTTAACAAAGGAAGAAAATGGCTGGGCCTGGTTGTGCATGCCTGTAATCCCAGCACTTTGGGAGGCCAACACAGTAGGATCACTTGAGCCCAGGAGTTCAAGACCAGCCTGGACAACATGGTGAAACCAAGACTCTACTAAAAAAGCAGAAAACTTATCCAGCCATAGTGGTGCATCCTTGTAGTCCTGGCTATTTAGGAGGCTAAGGTGGGAGGATCACCTGAGGCCAGGAGGTTGGGGCTGCAGCGAGCGCATGTTGCACTCCAGCATGGGCAACAGAAGTGAGACCCTGTCTCAAATAAACAAATTTTAATGAACATAAATAAAAATAAATTATACATATTAATATTTATTCCAGTAATTTTATCTCTAGGAATATAGCCTATGAAAATAGTTAAGGATGTTTACCTCAGAGTTTGTTCCCACAGTAGAAAATTCTGAAAACAATCTAAATCTACACGTACATAATGAAGAACAAGTTAAGAAAAAAAAATTTTTTTTTTTGAGACAGGGTCTTACTCTGTCACCCAGGCTGGAGTGCATGCAGTAGGGTGATCTTAGCTCACGCAGCCTCAACCTCCCAGGCTCAAGCAATCCTCCCACCTCAGCCTCCTGAGTAGGTGGGACTAAAGGCACATGCCACCACACTGGGCTAATTTTTGTATTTTTTGTAGAGACAGGGTTTTGCCATGTTGCTCAGGCTTGTCTTAGACTCCTAGCTTCAAATGATCCACCGCCTCAGCCTCCCAAAGTGCTAGGATTACAGGTGTGAGCCACTGGACCCAGCCAAAATTATTTTCTACTTATATAATATCATGTAGACATTAAAAATGATGTAGAAATATATTTGAAAACAAAGTGGTAAACAATAGTTCAGGGAAAATACTGTATATATGTTATAAAACACCACTGGAAGGGAAAAGTGTGACTAGAAAAGTCTGGAAGATACACGTCAAAAATAGTATTTCATCTCTGGATAGTGGTAGTACAAGATTTTTTTCTGTATTTGCCAAATTTTTTTATAATGAAGTAGTTATTTTGTATAATAATTCATTTTATATATATTACTTAAATACAAGTATATATAATTTGTGTTATATATCTATATTAGTGCATATATATGTACTATGTATTGAATGCTTATTTTGTGCTAGACACTAAGACAAAACTCTAGGTACAGGGGAAACTGGTAGGAACAATATAAGCAAGATTTCTGCTCTCACAGAATTTACGGGATTTAGGGCCAGGTATGGTGGTTCACGCCTATAATCCCAGAACCTTGGGAGGCCGAGGCGGGTGGATCACTTGAGGTCAGGAGTTTGAAACCAGCCTGGCCAACTTGGTGAATGAAACCCCATCTCTACTAAAAATACAAAAATTAGCTGGGCGTTGTGGCACACGCCTGTAGTCCCAGCTACTCGGGAGACTGAGGCAGAAAGATCTCTTGAACCTGGAAGGCAGAGGTTGCCGTGAGCTGAGATCGCGCCACTGCACTCCAGCCTGGGCAATAAGAGTGAGACTCCATCTCAAAAAAAAAGAATTTATATAATTTATGTTCCAGGGAAGGCAGTAGAGTGACAATAAACAGATGAATGAATGAACAAAGTAATTTTAGTTAGTGATAAGTTCTATGAAGAAAGTTATAGGATGGTGGTGTTGAAAGTAACTGGATTAGAGGGTCCGATTTTACTTACAGGAATCAGGAAAGGCCTCTCTGAGGCAACTTTTGAGCCACGAGGTGAATGACAGGAAAGAGAAAGCAGGTGAAGACATGGGGGCAGAGCATTACAGCAGAGCAACACTACGTGCAAAGCTCTGAGATGGAAATGAGGTTGTTGAATCTGACAGACAGAAAAGGGGCTGGTGTGGAGGAGGGAGGTAGGAGGAGAGATGGAAGATGAAGACGGGGGTCCGATATTGTAGGCCCATAGGTCATGTTCAGGAGTTTGGACTTAAGTCTTTTTGTTTTTGTTTTTGTTTTTTTGAGATGGAGTCCCTCTCTGTCGCCCAGGCTGGAGTGCAGTGGCACGATCTTGACTCACTGCAACTTCCACCTCTCAGGTTCAAGCGATTCTCCTGCCTCAGCCTCCTGAGGAGCTGAGACTACAGGCGTGTGCCACCACCTGCAGCTAATTTTTTGTATTTTTAGTAGACACAAGATTTCACCATGTAGGCCAGGCTGGCCTCAAACTCCTGACCTCAAGTGATCTGCCCGTCTCAGCCTCCCAAAGTGCTCAGATTAAAAGTATGAACCACCTAGCCCGGCCTGGACTTTATTCAAATTGTGATGGTTTATTCAAACCACTGAAGGGTCCTGATATGGTTTGGCTGTGTTCCCACCCAAAATCTCATCTTGAATTGTAATACTCCCGGTGTGTCAAGGGAGGGACCAGGTGAAGTTAACTGAACCATGGGGGTCGTTTCCCCGATACTGTCCTGGTGATAGTGAGTTCTCACAAGATCTGATGGTTTTATAAGGGGATTTACCCCCTCACTCAGCTCATTCTCCTTCCTGCCATCATGTGAAGAAGGATGTGTTTACTTCCCCTTCTGCCATGATTGTAAGTTACCTAAGGCCTCCCCAGCCCTGCAGAACTGTGTGAGTCAATTAAATCGCTTTCCTTTATAAATTACCCAGTCTCAGGTATTTCTTCATAGTAGCAGCACAAGAACAGACTAACACAGACAGGTTACATGCTTAGGAGGTACATTTACATGCTTAGAAGCATGTAAATGATGTCATCTGAACTATGTTTCAGAAAGATCACTCTGGCTGCTGTGGAGCCAGGATTTTAGTGGGGCAAGAAGACAAACAGGGAAATCAATAATGAAGCTGCTGCAATAATCCAATCACCTGGACCAGGGTGGGAGTAGAAGAGATGGCTAGAAAGGTCAGCTGCTGAGTGTATTTTGCAAGCAGAGGTGACGGGACTCGCTAATAGACTGGATGTGGGGCGAAGGAGAAGAATTCAGGATGACCCTCAAGTATACGACATGAGCAAAATGGGGGCTTTGTGAGATTTTTTTTTTTTTTTTTTTTTTTTTTTTTTTTTGAGACGGAGTCTCGCTCTGTCGCCCACGCTGGAGTGCAGTGGCCGGATCTCAGCTCACTGCAAGCTCCGCCTCCCGGGTTCACGCCATTCTCCGGCCTCAGCCTCCCGAGTAGCTGGGACTACAGGCGCTGCCACCTCGCCCGGCTATTTTTTGTATTTCTTTTTTTTTTTTTTTTTTTTTTTTTGAGACGGAGTCTGGCTCTGTCGCCCGGGCTGGAGTGCAGTGGCCGGATCTCAGCTCACTGCAAGCTCTGCCTCCCGGGTTTACGCCATTCTCCTGCCTCAGCCTCCCGAGTAGCTGGGACTACAGGCGCCCGCCGCCTCGCCTGGCTAGTTTTTTGTATTTTTTAGTAGAGACGGGGTTTCACCGTGTTCGCCAGGATGGTCTCGATCTCCTGACCTCGTGATCCGCCCATCTCGGCCTCCCAAAGTGCTGGGATTACAGGCTTGAGCCACCGCACCCGGCCTTTTTTTTTTTTTTTTTTTTTGAGACGGTGTCTCACTCTGTTGCCCAGGCTGGAGTGCAGTGGCGCAATCTCACTCAGCTCACTGCAAGCTCCGCCTCCCAGGTTCAAGCGATCCTCCTGCCTCAGCCCCTCTATTAGCTGGGATTACAGGCATGCGCCACCATGCCCAGCTAATTTTTTTTTTTTTTTTTTTTTTGAGACGGAGTCTCGCTCTGTCGCCCAGGCTGGAGTGCAGTGGCTAGATCTCAGCTCACTGCAAGCTCTGCCTCCCGAGTTTACCTCACTCTCCTGCCTCAGCCTCCCAAGCAGCTGGGACTACAGGCGCCTGCCACCACGCCCGGCTAGTTTTTTGTATTTTTTAGTACAGACGGGGTTTCACTGGGTTAGCCAGGATGGTCTCGATCTCCTGACCTCGTGATCCACCTGCCTCAGCCTCCAAAAGTGCTAGGATTACAGGCGTGAGCCACTACGCCCGGCCTTTTTTTATTTTTATTTTTTTTGAGATGGAGTCTCGCTCTGTTGCTAGGCTGGAGTGCAGTGGCACCATCTCGGCTCACTGCAACCTCTGCCTCCCAGGTTCAAGCAATTCTCCTGCCTCAGCCTTCTGAGTTCTGGGACTACAGGCGCGCGCCACCATACCCAACTAATTTTTGTATTTTTAGTAGAGATAGAGTTTCACCATGTTGGCCAGGATGGTCTCAATCTCTTGAGCTCGTGATCTGCCCACCTCGTCCTCCCAAAGTGCTGGGATTACAGGCGTGCGCCATGGCGCCTGGCCTCTAATTTTTGTATTTTTAGTAGACACAGGGTTTTGCCATGTTAGCCAGGCTGGTCTCGAACTCCTGATCTCAGATGATCACCCACCTTGGCCTCCCAAAGTGCTGGGATTATAGACATGAGCCACCACACCTGGCCTAGGACACCAACTTTTTTTTTTTTTTTTTTTTTTTTTTGAGACAGAGTTTGGCTCTTGTTGCCCAGGCTGGAGTGCAATGGCAAAATCTTGGCTCACCGAAACCTCCGCCTCCCGGGTTCAAGCAATTCTCCTGCCTCAGCCTCCCAAGTAGCTGGGATTACAGGCACGTGCCACCACGCCCAGCTAATTTTGTATTTTTTTCAGTAGAGATAGGGTTTCTCCATGTTGGTCAGGCTGATGTCGAACTCCCGACCTCAGGTGATCCACCTGCCTGGGCCTCCTAAATTGCTAGGATTATAGGCGTGAGCCACCATGCCCGGCCAAGACCTCATTTTTTTAAACAATGAAGACTTATGCTGTACCTTGACCTCCTGCCAGTAGGGTCCACCACGGGTGAACATGAAGTAACTATACATCTGATTCGTCCTCTGGAGGAAATCTGTGTCCTCCTTGATATTCACCATCCAAGGCCGACCATCCCCACGTACACGGAGATACAGAGTATTGAACTGCGACCAATCATAAGACAACTTCCTCTCAAAAGCACCCTACGATATTGAAAGGAAAGTTAATTGCACCTCCTTCTCCACTATCAGCAAAATGTGAGTCATCACCAAGTCAGCATCATCAACAGGATTCACTAACCATTTTTCTGACTTTCTGCCCCATAAGAAGGCAGATAAACCCAGTGATTATTATTTTAGCACAAAATACTGACTTAGTTATATGTTTCTAAGGTAATGTTCAACACACAACTGGCCCAGGACAGTGTTTACATGGGGTAGGCACTCACCTGTGTTCACTGAATGGAAATGAATGTATTTCCTTTACCTGGTCCTATGGAGCAATGACTTTTTTCTCTTTTTCTTTTTTTGAGACGAAGTTTCGCTCTTGTTACCCAGGCTGGAGTGCAATGGCACGATCTCAGCTTACCACAACCTCTGCCTCCCGAGTTCAAGTAATTCTGCCGCAGCCTCCCGAGTAGCTGGAATTACAGGCATGCACCACCATGCCCAGCTAATTTTTTGTATTTTTAGTAGAAACGGGGTTTCTCCATGTTGGTCAGGCTGGTCTCGAACTCCCGACCTCAGGTGATCCACCCGCCTCGGCCTCCCAAAGTGCTGGGATTACAGGCATGAGCCACTGCGCCCGGCCAAGGAGCGGTGATTTCTGAGTGGCCTATTTTATGACAGCTGCCTTTCCACAAGTCAGAAAACTATAGAGAAAAGAGCTTAAGTTTTAAAAGTGATATTTAACAACAGTGGCTAGCATCCATTGAATATGTGCATTAAATAATTTGCATGCATAATTTAATCCTCACAACAGTGCTAGGTTATTAGCATCTTACCCCGTTTTACAGATAAACAAACTAAGCACTCAGCTAATAAGTGGTATATCCAATGCTGTTTAACTCCAAAATCTGTGTGCTTAACAACTATCTATACTGCCTCTCTCTTCAAAAGTGGAATTTAGTTCATTTCCAAAGGCATTTAGTTACAGCAATCTCAAGGGTACTCTGATGTCGAGAACACCAAAGTCTAGATATAAACTAATATTTATTATCCGTGTAACTTTGGACAAGTTACTAAATCTATCCAACTCTGTTTCCTCATCCATAAACCTGGGATGATCTTACCTCAGGAGACTGTTGTGAGGAATAAATGGGATAATATAAAGTGCTTAGCACAAGGACTGGCACGTCACGCTTAATAAATGTTATCTACTATTTTCATTATTCCAAAATGAATATTTGGGCCAGGCACAGTGGCTCACACCTGTAATCCCAGCACTCTGGGAGGCCAAGCGGGGGGGGGGGGGCGTGGATCACCCGAGGTCAGGAGTTCAAGACCAGCCTGGCCAACATGGTGAAACCCTGTCTGTACTAAAAATACAAAAAATTAGCCAGGCATGGTGGCATGCACCAGTAGTCCCAGCTACTCAGGAGGCTGAGGCAGGAGAATCACTTGAACCTGGAGAGCAGAAGTTGCAGTGAGCCAAGATCATGCCACTGCACTCCAGCCTGGGTGACAGAGCAAGACTCCGTTTCAAAAAAAAAAAAGAAAGCCACAGGCTGACCCTACATCAACTCTATAAAACCCCCGGCCATTACTCAGAGGCTGTGGTCTTTGTTAGAGGAGATGAAAATCTCTCCAAAAATCTTTCAAATGTCTAACCGCTCAGGATTCCTGAAACATAACAATGCTGGTTCCTGGCCCAAAGCAATGCCCAGAAACAAGTAACTCCTCCTCCTCAGAAACCACTTCCCCCTTGTGCTTCCACTTTACACTTGTGCCAATACTTATCTCCAAACACAGGTGAGGCGCCAAATATAACATGCCAGGTGTTTTCATTTATAGAAACAAAAGCTATCTTCTTTTTTTTTTTTTTTTGAGACGGAGTCTTGCTCTGTCGCCCAGGCTGGAGTGCAGTGGCGCGATCTCGGCTCACTGCAAGCTCCGCCTCCCGGGTTCACGCCATTCTCCTGCCTCAGCCTCCCGAGTAGCTGGGACTACAGGCGCCCACAACCGCGCCCGGCTAATTTTTTTGTATTTTTAGTAGAGACGGGGTTTCACCGTGGTCTCGATCTCCTGACCTTGTGATCCGCCCGCCTCGGCCTCCCAAAGTGCTGGGATTACAGGCGTGAGCCACCGCGCCCGGCCACAAAAGCTATCTTCTATAGTTTATGCTACAATGAAGTTCACCCCGTTCACTAGAAAATGATGCCGCCTGGGCCTCACCTACCCTTGGAATCCTGGATATCATTGCACAGTACCCACTGCGGGCAGACTCCCCGTCCTGAGGTGCCTCAGAGCTCAGAGTTCCATAGAGCAGTGCACTTTGGTTATTCTTGCCCATTTTCAAAAACACTTCACTTCTGCCTCCAATCGTCTTATCAGAAGTCACTCTCCACTTATCCAAATCTTCTTTCCCGCGGAACTGCCAGACAACCTTGGCTTGTTCCAGCAAGGCCTCTTGCAGAGGGCGGCCTTCCGGTCCCTTCCAATGATTCACAATTTCATCCTTCAAACGCCTAAAATGGTCCATTGCTTCATCTCTAATTGCTTTATCGAAACTAACATCAGGTTTCTCCTCAGGACAAGTTATATCCAAAGCAACTTCTTTCTGGTGATGTCCTTGCAAACCCCCTTCAGTCTTCCTCTGTGAGGAGGCTTTGCCAGGAGAAGCCACTGGTTTCTGAAGACTACTGGAATAGTCTGCAAAGCGAATACCCAAAAGTGGATGCAAGGCAGAAGTTGGCTTAGAGCATTTTCTGAGAATATAAGTACCACGCAGCACTTTGTGAAACAAAGCCATGGTACAAAAAAATCAAAACATAAGTTTCTTCCTGGGCTACCAAGGGCTACGAAGAAGCTTCAGCAAATAGCCCAATTCTACCTGTAACAGAAGACACATTGAAGAATTATCAGTATAGCAATGAACGCATCACAATTTCAAATTCAACAGAAATCAGGTATTTTGAAATTTGTTAACTTATTTTGTTTATTATTATTATTATTATCATTATTATTTGAGACAAGGTCTTGCTCTGTGGCCCAGGCTGGAGTGCAGTGGCACAATCACAGCTCATTTTAGCCTCTCTACTTTCTGGAGTCAAGTGATCCTCCCATCTCAGCCTCCCAAGTAGCTGGGATTACAAGCACACACCACCACACCCACCTAATTTTTAAATTTTTTGTAGAAATGGATCTCCCTGTCCAGGCGCAGTGGCTCACACTTGTAATCCCAGCACTTTGGGAGGCTGACGCGGGTAGATCACGAGGTCAAGAGATCAAGACCATCCTGGCCAACATGGTGAAACCCTGTCTCTACTAAAAACACAAAAATTAGCTGGGTGTGGTGGTGCGTGCCTGTAATCCCAGCTACTAAGGAGGCTGGGGCAGGAGAATTTCTTGAACCTGGGAGGAGGAGGTTGCAGTAAGCCAAGATCGTGCCACTGCACACTCCAGCCTGGCAACAGAGTGAGACTTTGTCCCCCAAAAAAAAAAAGAAAAGAAAAAGAAATGGATCTCCCTGTGTTGCCCATGATGGTTTTGAACTCCTGGGATCCAGTGATTCTCCCCTCAGCTTCCCAAAGTGCTGGGTTGCAGGAATGACGCACCATCCCCGATCTTTTTTTTTTTTTTCTCTTTTCACAAAAGACTGGGTCAGGCCGGGTGCGGTGGCTCACGCCTGTAATCTCTACACTTTGGGAGGCCGAGGCGGATGGATCACCTGAGGTCAGGAGTTCAAGACCAGCCTTGACAACATGGTGAAACCCCATCTCTACTAAAAATAATCCAGGCGTGGTGGCAGACGCCTATAATCCCAGCTACTCGGGAGCCTTAGGCAAGAGAATCACTTGAACCCGGGAGGCAGAGGTTGCAGTAAGCCGAGATCGCACCACTGCACTCCAGCCTGGACAACAAGAGCAAAATTCCATGTGGAAAAAAAAAAAAAGAGAGAGAGACAGGGTCTTGCTCTGTCACCCAGGCTGCCACGCTGTGGCAAGATCAATAGCTCATTGTATCCCTGAACTCCTGGGCCCTGGGCTGAAATGATCCTCCCACCTCAGCCTCCAAGGTAACTGAGACAACAGGTGCACACCACCATGCCCAGCTAATTTTTTTAAAAAATGTTGGCCAGGCGCGGTGGCTCACGCCTATAATCCCAGCACTTTGGGAGTCCAAGGTGGGCAGATCACTTGAGGTCAGGAGTTCAAGACCAGCCTGGCCAACCTGGTGAAACCCCATCTCTACTAAAAATACAAAAATGAGTTGGGCGTTGTGGAGAGCGCCTGTAATCCCAGCTACTGGGGAGGCTGAGGCAGGAGAATCACTTGTACCCAGGAGGCAGAGGTTGCAATGAGCTGAGATCACACCATTGCACTCCAGCCTAGGCAACAAGAGTGAAACTCCATCTCAAAAAAAAAAAAAAAAATTGTAGCCCACCACGGCGGCTCACACCTGTAATCCCAGCACTCCGAGAATCTGAGGCAGGCAGATGACTTGTCAGGAGTTGGAGACCAGCCCAACATGGTAAAACCCCATCTCCACTAAAAATACAGAAATTGGCCCAGTGTGCTGGCTCATGGCTGTAATCCCAACACTTTGGGAGGCCAAGGCAGGCAGACCACCTGAGGTCAGGAGTTCAAGACCAGCCTGACCAACATGGTGAAACCCCTACAGAAAATACAAACAATTAGCTGGGAATGGTGGCCCATGCCTGTAATCCCAGCTACTTGGGAGGCCTAGGCATGAGAATTGCTTGAACCCAGGAGGCAGAGGTTGCAGTGAGCGGAGATCGTGCCACTGCACTCCAGCCTGGGTGACAGAGTAAGACTTCACCTCAAAAAAAAAAAAAAAAAAAAAAAAAATTAGCTGGGAATGGTGCTGGGCACCTGTAACCCCACCTACTCGGAAGGCGGAGGCAGGAGAATCACTTGAACCTGGGAGGCAGAGGCTGCAATGAGCCAAGACTGCGCCATCGCACTCCAGCCTGGGCAACAAAAGTGAAACTCCGTCTCAAAAAAATACATATACAAAAATTAGCTGGGTGTGGTGGCAGGTACCTATAGCATGGTGGCAGGCACCTATAATCCCAGCTACTTGGGAGGCTGAAGCAGGAGAATCGCTTGAACCCAGGAGTGGGAGGTTGCAGTGAGCCAAGATCAGGTCACTGCACTCCAGCCTGGGTGACAGAGCAAGACTCTGTCTAAAAAATAAATAAATAAATAAATAAATAAAAATAAAAAATTGTAAGACCAGGCGCAGTGGCTTATGCCTGTAATCCCGACACTTTGGGAGGCCAAGGCGGGTGGATGACAAGGTCAGGAGTTCAAGGCCAGCTTGACCAACATGGAGAAACCCCATCTCTACTAAAAATACAAAATTAGCCGGGTGTGGTGGTGCATGACTGTAATCCCAGCTACTCAGGAGGCTGAGGCAGGAGAATCGCATGAACCCAGGAGGTGGAGGTTGTGGTGAGCCAAGATCACGCCATTGCACTCCAGCCTGGACCACAAGAGCAAAACTCCATCTAAAAAAAAAAAAAAAGATAGAGATGAGGTCTTGCTAGGTTGCTCAGACTGGTCTCCAGCTCCTGGGTTCAAGTGATCCTCCTGCCTCAGCCTCTGGAGTACCTGGGATTACAGGCATGAGCCACTGCACCTGATGAATACTATTCCCAATACTTTTTTTTTTTTTTGAGACAGAGTCTCACTCTGTAACCCAGGCTGGAGTGCGGTGGCGCGATCTCAGCTCACTGAAGCTCCACCTCCCGGGTTCACGCCATTCTCCTGCCTCAGCCTCCCAAGTAGCTGAGACTACAGGTACCCAACACCACGCCTGGCTAATTTTTTTTTTTCTTTTTTGTATTTTTAGTAGAGACGGGGTTTCACCGTGTTAGCCAGGATGGTCTCAATCTCCTGACCACGTGATCCGCCTGCCTTGGCCTCCCAAAGTGCTGGGATTACAGGCGTGAGCCATAGCGCCCAGCCCACTCCTAATACTTTCAAATCACCCTGATATATATTATCTCATGCCATCCACACACAAATCCTATGAAGTCAGGTAGACATTTCCTTTCTATAGGATACAGACACCAATAGGTAAAATGACATTATCCATTTTTTTTTTTTTTTTTTTTGAGACAGAGTCTTGCTCTGTCACCAGGCTGGATATCTTGGCTCACCACAATCTCCGCCTCCTGGGTTCAAGCAATTCTCTTGTCTCAGCCTCCAGAGTAGCAGGGATTACAGACCGGCGCCACCATGCCCGGCTAATTTTAATTTTTGTTTTTTGTTTTTTTTTCAGTAGAGATGAGGTTTCGCCGTGTTGGCCAGACTGGTCTTGAACTCCTGACCTCAGGTGATGCGCCCATGTGGGCCTCCCAAAGTGCTGGGATTACAGGCATCAGCCACCACGCCCGACCTTTTTTTTTTTTTTTTTGAGATGGAGTCTGGCTCTGTCACCCAGGCTGGAGTGCAATGGCACGATCTTGGCTCACTGCAACCTCTGCCTCCCGGGTTCAAGTGCTTCTCCTGCCTCTGCTTCCCGAGTAGCTGAGATTACAGGTGCCCACCACCACGACCAGCTTTTTTTTTTTTTTTTTAAGACAGAGTCCAGCTTTGTCACCCAAGTTGGAGTGCAGTTGCGCGATCTCGGCTCACTGTAACCTCCACCTCCTGGTTTCAAGCAATTCTCTTGCCTGAGCCGCTGGAATTACAGGTGTGCGCCACCACTCCCAGCTAATTTTTATATTTTTAGTAGAGACAGGGTTTCACCATGTTGGCCAAGCTGGTCTCGAACTCCTGACCTCAAGTGATCCGCCCACCTTGGCCTCCCAAAGTGCTGGGATTACAGGCGTGAGCCACCGCGCCCAGCCGACATTATCAATAAGGTTTGCTAATAAATCAAAATCATGTAAACAGTATGTTTTCACATGTATTATAAACGTAAAGGAACCAGGAAAAATTAACAGTTGATCTGAGATCCTGCAATTATGGATAATATTTAAATTCCCCCGCGCCGGTTGCACTTAAATGATTTACACATTTAAGTTACAAAATTATTTACCTCTACACATACAGAAATTTTAGAAACAAATGATAGCTCATAAAATATTTTGCAAACCCTCCGTAGTGTTATTTCTCTAGTAATATAACTTTAATTATAAATGCTTTGTTTCATTTTTTTTTTCTACCAGTAAATAGAAAATCTAACCTATTAACTGAACAATACCGCCCTGAGGTTGACGGTGGGTTTTGACAACATAATCCACGCAGCTAGAAGTGAGTCGAATTAGTAAAGATATCCACGGCTTACCATGTGCCAGAAACTGCTCTAAGGGTTTCACTGACGGCTCACAACAATCCTCAGAGAGGAACTATTATTATTTCAATTATGGAGACGAGGAAACCGACGTTCCAAGACTAATTTACCCGAGGTCACTGAGGTAGTGAGTGGCAAAACTCTTCCGCCTTGGCGTTTACCTCCGGCACTCACGGCCTGGCCTCCGAAGGCTAGACCTTCGCCGCGGTGGGGAGGCCCCGCAACCCTCAACTGCCAGGGCTCTGTCGCCTCCCCACACCCGGGACACATCAAACGCCAACCTACCACCGCTTACCTCCCCGAGCCTATAGTGTGGCTTCCAACCAGAAGCCACTTTTCACTTATAGGTCCATCTGTTTTTCCCTTCCGATGCCAAACAAGGCGTCAGAACACTAAAGTTCCGGCCGGGTACAGAAGCCCAGGAAGGAGAGCAAGGACCGGGTAGTCCAGCCAACTGAGGTTTTTTGGAGGTTTTTGGTCCACTTGGTCGCCAGTTGTAAGGAAGTAGTGAGGATTCGGATAAGTTTTTCGCCTCTCCTTTCTGTATCCTTTCGGGCGGCAACTCTATCTCTGCGTCTTTTTTTTTTTTGAGACGGAGTCTCTGTCGCTAGGCTGAGTGCAGTGGCACCGTCTCGGCTCACTACAACTTCCGCCTCCCGGGTTCGAGCGATTCTCCTGCCTCAACCTCCCGAGTAGTTGGGATTACAGGTGTACGCCATCAAGCCCGGCTAATTTTTTTATTTTTAGTAGAGGCGGGGTTTCACCATGTTGGCCAGGATGATCTCGATCACCTGACCTCGTGATCCACCCGCCTCAGCCTCCCAAAGTGCTGAGATTACAGGCGTGAGCCACCGCGCCCCGCCTCCTATAGAACCCAGTTATTGCTAACGCACCTGCGCCCCCACTTGGCGCCTGTATCCCTTCTTTCCTTATCTGTCCCCTCAGTCTCCACAAGAACTACCTGAGGCCTCAAGAGGCCGGTTCTACTGGAATTGCCCCCATGAATTCTTGAGGACCCACCATGCACCTGGACAGCAGCACCTCCTACCAGCCCTTCCCCAGTCCTGCCCCACAGGGTCGCCAGTTCCTCAGGGCATCTGTTTGTACCTTGTGCACACCTCTGGTAAAGCACTTTCTTTTTTCTTTTTTTTTCTTTCTTTTTTTTTTTTTTTTTTTTTTGAGACGGTGGAGCCTCACTCTGTTGCCCAGGCTGGAGTGCAGTGGCGCGATCTGCAACCTCCGACTCCTGGGTTGGAACAGTTCTCCTGCCTCAGCCTCCCGAGTAGCTGGGATTACAGGTGTGTGCCACCACACCCGGCTAATTTTTGTATTTTTAGTAAAGACAGGGTTTCGCCATGTTGGCCAGGCTGGTCTTGAACTCCTGACCTCATGATCCACCCACCTCGGCCTCCCAAAGTGCTGGTATTACAGGCGTAAGCCACCGTGCCAGGCCAAAGCACTTAAACATTGTTTGTTTGGTTTTTTTTCTTGCTGCCAGGGAAGACAGAATCAACACTGTAGCTTAATTATTCACTCACTTCTCACTTCCTCCGCCACGCTGTGAGCTTTCTTGGGTCCAGACTGCGCTGTTTTTCCTTAAGCAGAATGTCCCATAGCGGCGGGAATTTAGTGCTCAGTGTGAATTTGAGAGCATGTACTTCGGTAACACCTTTGTTCTCTAAGGTTCCAAAGGAGCTCACCAAATGCAATAGCCCTTTCCATGTTTTCTCCATCACTAGTTTCTGGGCCGCCTCCTCTTCCTCAAATTCTGCTTGGCTTCTCTAGACTCTACAGTTGCTTCCTCAAACCTTCCCTTTCTGCCCCCATCACTGACTCTTCTATTATCTTCCCACAACCTTTAATGCGGGCTGTCTCCATGGCCCATCCTGCACCTACTTGTTTTCTAGTTTGAAAAATATAAGTTATCGGCCAGGCGCGATGGCTCACGCCTGTAATCCCAGCACTTTGGGAGGCCGAGGCGGGCGGATTTCAAGGTCAGGAGATCGAGACCATCCTGGCTAACACGATGAAACCCCGTCTCTACTAAAAATACAAAAATTAGCTGGGCTTGGTGGCGGGCGCCTGTAGTCCCAGCTACTCAGGAGGCTGAGGCAGGAGAATGGTGTGAACCCGGGAGATGGAGCTTGCAGTGAGCGAGATCATGCCACTGCACTCCAGCCTGGGCACACAGAGCGTGACTCCGTCTCAACAACACCACCAACAACAAAAACTCGAAATGTCTTTTTGTTGTTGTTTTTTAGGAAACGCCCTTGAGTAATAAAAAAAACTAAATGTCTAAAACTAAATGTGTCATTTTTCCTCATACTAATTCCTCCTCTTATCTCCCTATTTCTGTAAATGGCCACATCCTTCTAGGCTGGAAATCCTTGACTGTCCTTGGCTCCTCTCCTTAAAATCTTCTCTTATTGATTCTAAATCCTGTTGCACTCTCTTGCTGTTTTTGATGTTTGATCTCTTCACGCCTTCTTTCCAAACCCACTGACACGTTTCTTGTTTTTTTGGTTTTTAAAATATAGTAGCCATCCTAATGAGTGTGAAGTGGTATCTCATTTTGATTTTGATTTGCATTTCTCTAATAATTAGTTGTTTGCTGCTTTTTTTTTTTTTTTTTTTTTTTTTTGAGCCACAGTCTTCCTCCCTCACCCAGGCTGGAGTGCAGTGGCGCAGTCTCGGCTCACTGCAACCCCCGCCTCCCAGGTTCAAGTGATTCTCCTGCCTCAGCCTCCCAAGTAGCTGGGATTAGAGGTGCATGCCACCACACCGAGCTAATTATTGTATTTTTAGTAGAGACAGGGTTTCGCCATGTTGGCCAGGATGGTCTCGAACTCCTGACCTCAGTTGATCCACCCACCTCAGCCATCCAAAGTGCTGGGATCACAGGCGTGAACCACTGTGCCCGACCTGTTTTTTGTTTTTTTGAGACAGAGTCTTGCTCTGTCGCCCAGGCCAAGGTGCAGTGGCCCGATCTTGGCTCACTGCAACCTCTGCCTCCCAGGTTCAAGCGATTCTCCTGCCTCAGCCTCCTGAGTAGCTGGAACTACAGGCATGCACCACCACACCCAGCTAAGTTTTGTCATTTTAGTAGAGACAGGGTTTTACCATGTTGGCCAGGCTGGTCTTGAATGCCTGACCTCAGGTGATCCACCCACCTTGGCCTCCCAAAGTGCTGGGATTACAGGTGTGAGTCACTGCGCCCCGCCAGGATAGGTTTTTATTTTATTTTATTTTATTTTTTTAAGCTGCTGAGTTTGTGTTAAGCAGGATCCTGTCATTTCCAATCAATATTAAATGAAATAATATATATAAAATGTTTGCATAATTCTTGAAATTATTTGGTAAATGTGCAAAAAAGCTAGCTATTATCGCTGCACTCTAGGACAGTGTTCAACAAGTACACAGTCCAGTAGAGGCATGTCATCAAACAAATAACTGCAGCACAGTTAGAAACTATAGTAGAGGGAGGTATTAGGTACAAGACTGGCCCAAAGAAGGGTGTAATGAGTACTTATGGGCTAGACATTGAGTTTAACACTTCTCAGGCATTTTCTCTTTTCATTCTCAGAACAATTCTGTGAAGTAGGTACTCATATTACACCTATTTCCCAAGTAAGAAAACAGATGTTAAGTAACATGCTAGTCACATGCTTGTCACAGCTGTTGAAGTGGCAGAGCTGGGATTCAAACCATGTCTGTCTGCTAAATCCAGGATACATGCTCATTATTCATTACATTGTATCATGTCTGCTTCTCTGAGTTAGCTAGTAGTTCCTAGAGGAAGAACATGAACTGAGCATTGAAGGATAAGGCATTTAACAGACAGATGAGAGGCAGAAGGGCACTCCAGGTGAGGGAGCATGTATATGCAAAGGCAGGGAGTTACGAAACAGACCGTGTGCCCGCAGAAATGGAAGATTGCCGCTTGTCAGAATAGTGATGATTTCTACTGTCTCTCTTTTTTTTTTTTCCCCCAGACGGAGTCTCCCTCTGTCGCCAGACTGGAGTGCAGTGGCACAATCTCAGCTCACTGCAACCTCTGCCTTCCAGGTTCAAGTGATTCTCCTGCCTCCTGAGTAACTGGGACTACAGGGGCGTGCCATCACGCCCAGCTAATTTTTGTATTTTTAGTAGAGACAGGGTTTCACCATGTTGGTCAGGATGGTCTCCATCTCTTGACCTCATAATCTGCCCACCTCGGCCTCCCAAAGTGCTGGGATTCCAGGCGTGAGCCATCGCACCAGCCCGATGTCTACTGTCTAAAAGCAACATAGAGTCAAGCCCAGGGATATGCACTTACAATACCATATCTCTTAAGACTTACCATGGGCTGGCCGGGCACGGTGGCTCACGCCTGTAATCCCGGCACTTTGGGAGGCCAAGGCAGATGACTCACCTGAGTTCAGGAGTTTGACACCAACCTGACCAACATGGAAAAACCCTGTCTCTACTCATACAAAATTAGCCGGGCATGGGGGCGCACGCCTGTAATCCCAGCTACTTGGGAGGCTGAGGCAGGATAATTGCTTGAACCCAGGAGGCGGAGCTTGCAGTGAGCCGAGATCGTGCCACTGGACTCCAGCCTGGGCGACAGAGCGAGACTCCGTCTCAAAAAACAAAAAAAAAATCACCACAATCTTGTAAGACAGATGTTATTTCCCTCCTTTACCCCTGAAGGGAATGAAACTCAGAGAGGTTAGGTGACCCAACCGAGTTCACAGAGATAAGCAAGTGGCCTCTGAATGCAGGTCTGGTAAGCTCTATGCACCAATTTGGATTGAAGGATGAGGTGAGAGCAGGAGAGGGAAGCAGGATAGCAGTTTCTCAACTATTTTTTGCTGTGACCCACAACGAGAAACGTAATTTACTATGATCTAGTGTATACATACATATATATGTGGTGGCATTTTCTAGCACTCACCCACATCCACTTAGTCTGTACTTCTGGGCATATTGGAGGATAATACTTCTCTGCCTCTTTGCAATTAGGCAGTCACATGACTAGCTCTGGCCAATAGATTATGAGCAGAAGTGACATTTATCATTCCTGGCCAAAGCATTTCATTTCACGTTCAAGAGCATCCAGTGAGGCCGGGCCCGGTGGCTCATATCTGCGATCCCAACACTTTGGGAGACCAAGGCAGGCGGATCATTTCAGGTCAGGAGTTCGAGACCAGCCTGGCCAACATGGGCAAAACACCGTCTCTACTAAAAATACAAAAATTAGCTGAGCATGGTGGCAGGCGCCTGTAACCCCAGCTACTTGGGAGTCTGAGGCAGAAGAATTGCTTGAACTTGGAAGACAGAGGGTGCAATGTGCCAAGATCACGCCACTACACTCCAGCCTGGGCGACAGAATGAAATTGTCTCAAAAAAGAAAAAAAAAAAAAGATTATCCAGTGTTCTCTTTCCCTGTAGCAGTTATTGTGAAAGCATATATTGAGACTGATGTGCCACAAGACTGAAACACCCTGCATCAATAAAGCAACAAGAAGAGAACAGTTACATCTCTGAGATTTGCAGTAGACTTTGTATGAGTGAAAAATAAGTTTTCCTCTGTTACCCTACTGAGATTTTTGGTACTATTTGTTACTGCAGCAAAACTTAGCCTATCCTGATTTACACAATATATAAATGAAACATACAGGCCAGGCACGGTGGCTCATGCCTGTAATCCCAGTACTTTGGGAGGCCGAGGCAGGTGGATCACCTGAGATCAGGAGTTTGAGACAAGCCTGACCAACATGGAGAAAACCTGTCTCTACTAAAAATACAAAATTAGCT